TCTTACCCACTCTCAGAACTGTGCCTAAATTTAAACAGTTTTTTTAATATATTCTCTTTTGGAATATTTTTTAACTTGTTAAGATTATAGAGAAAATCAAACTTCGTTGTATTTTGGTATTAAAGTTAAAATACAGTGTTTAAAAGTTTAAAAAAAGCTGCATTAAACCTTTGAGATGCGAGGATCTTTCGAGCCGCGAGGCCGTAGGCGGTGGCCCACGTCACCCACATCTTAAAACGAAATATATTACCACAAGCTCATTTTTACCAAATTGTGGACTTGTCCACTTGTGTTAGCATACCCCTGATTTGTGAAATGTATATGTAGAGATTCGAAATCGCTAATTTTATTTCACAATGTTTAGTCTATCTGCTGATTTCATTAATATCATAACGTATCAGGGCTTTAGCTGCTTTTGATCTTATTCCTATTACATTTCTAAAAGAGCAGCAATCATAGCGGTTTAACCCAACATTGATATTAGAGATATTGCAAATTTTTATAACGTCAGCCACTATTAGGGACAACTTACTTAGTGGCAAATAAATTCCATGCTAAAGTAAGAATTATTACAAACCTAAAGTTTTGACATTGAGTTCTTGTCCTTAAACATATTTCTAACCTCATTTTAAACTACAGTTCATCTATTTTGTTGTCTTTAATAGTATATAAAAAGGAAGAGGCATTAGAAATTATCATCTTAGAAGGTTAATGACGATGATATTAAATATTTAGTATTAAAAAACTTCGAACTGATACGAAAGTCGGCGAGCGCATCCGAAAGCTATAAAATCGCCACTAACTGCTGCCCTTAAACATCCATTTAGCATTAAACATATTTAGTATATAAATGTTGAAAAAAAAAAATAAAATTTCTCAAATTTGGTGGAAGTTATGCGATATTTAATTAAACAAATATATATATTTTTATAAAGTTGTAGGTATAAGTAAGGTATAAGTAAGGCGCCATTTTTATATGATCTTAAAATTAATTTTGATTTTTCACATCAAAAATATAACCCTAACCAACTTCAAGTCCAAAATATGATAAAAAAAAATTTAATAGTAGACGAATATTTGACATAGTATTATTTGGCGAAACATTAGTATGGTGATTTCTTGAATATATTTATAAAATAATGGCTATACCTTTAATTTATTTGCACAAATGAGATGCAAATCCAAAAAAGTATCCGCTATTACGGTTTCAATATTAAATTATAGCGTAAGCTGATAATATAAGAAAGTTAGTATAATAGTGAAAGAAAACATGAAATTGCAAAACGTCTAGGAAACGACAATACATTTTTTCTACACTCACAAGGATATTAGATTATCTACAACGAGTACAAAACGAAAAAGAAAGGTATTGCGTAGTAACTGAACGAATATATTTCATATCCATTCTAGGTAGTAAGAACACTACAAAAAATAATAAAATCCACAAATCACAGTTCCTATTTTGATCACCCAACTACTATTATTTTTAACATTTTAAATAAATAACATTTATGTCAAACTAATTGTCAGTTAAAATATTTTTAGTTATTGAGATTAAATATACATTAAAATGAGTTATTCTTGTGTAGACTCGATAAACAATAATAGCATTTCTATTTTTGTTTGGTTTATAATTATAAATATTTCGTTAGTTTTAACAAAACTATATAAAGTCAATTTAATTACGAGTATTAAAGAAAAAAAAAATGAGCACCTCGGTGGTGGCGAGTTCAGAGCACTTGTCTTTTTTCTTGTTTATTCTATTTTATAAACTATAAAATTTAAATTAGTTATTTTATCTTAATAACCTAAAATAATTGTTAATATTATTTGTAGATTTTCATTAGTGGGTCGTAGAAAAATATGCTGTACAACTCGAGTTTATTGTCCATATCACACTCAGACAATTGAGGAGCACTCCGCTAACGGCGTCGTTCTCAAATTTCGTCTTCGTGCGATATGGCCATCATAATATCCACTCTTATTGCACAAACTATTATTACTCATTTCTTGTGCCTATATAAGGATAAATTAAAAAAATCTTAATCATTACATTACTTGTTAAATTCAAAACATATACAAAGAGAATAGTTTTATTGGCTAAATTGAAAAATGAATCATGCCAATTAAAACTAAGTTATTTAATAACGAACAATAAAATATTTAATTCCCGAAATTAAATCATATTAGGAATTTCCAATATCATCTATTGTCCTCTATTTTAATAATAGGTAAAAAGGTATCAGACGACAGCGCAAATAAGGGGTTAAAACCGGATAGACACAAATTCGTTGAAGCTGACTAAAATAGTTACGTAATTCAATGTTTTATATAACAAATTGTATACCCCTTATGGTATTTAGAGATATTAATCAAGTAAGGAAGGTGTATGAGAGGTATATCTCATGGTATTTGTTGTGGCACTGCTTGAAGTTTTTGAATTTTATGTATGTAGTATATTATGTAAAACTATTTGAGTCCATTGTCTGTTTTTTGCATGGAATTCTAATAGTTTTTTGTACCTATTAAATATTTTATGTTTTTATGTTTTATTTAAGCATTGTATCATTGATTCCATAAAAGTTAGCTGTTACATATTACAAAACATAAACTTAGTAAAATTATTAAAATAAAAATTGACTTCTCATTTTCATATATAATATGCATATATACACAATTTGATTTATATAAGTTGGGGCATTTCTACGCTTGTGTTTTTTACGTGCTTGTTTAGATTTTTTGATTTTTGCTAAGAAAGTTATACTGGTTTATTTGTATTTTAGAATACTTTTTTTTTTTTTTTTTTTGGCTTGGACTTTTGTCATTCAGCCAGTCACTTAATGAATATAAATAATACAATACAAAATAAATGGTAAACAATGGCAACAAAAATAATCCATCGGAACAAAATAAATCTGTCGCAACAAAACTAATCTACCGCAACAAAACCAACCTATCACGTCAAACCAAAATTTAAAAGACAATACTTTTCAAAGGAAATAAACAAGGACACTCGTTTCTCGTCCAGGGACCCATCAGGACATTTTTTTTTTCAAGACACACTAGAAATAGGCCACGGAGTGGGTAGGGTATTATAACAAAGGTAATTAGGATATATCAAAAACAAAGGTAACAAATCTACTACAATCTTATATCTGCTTTAGACAGAAATTCTATCAAACAATCAAAATTTTCTTTTTTAGATGAAGCCAAAATTGACAATACATTAAACGGAGCAGTTATATTTACGTTGCACAGTTTTTTATATAATTCATTTGACAGATTCTGATGCGTTGTGCATTCAAAGAAAATGTGATCTAAATCACCTATAACTCCACAGTGTTCACAGTTGTCACTAGGTATAACATTTATACGAGAGAGATGTTGGGGATAACATGCGTGTCCAAATTTGAGTCTAATTATTGTTGTGATAAATCTGCGAGGAATATTAAACTGCTTGTGCCAATATTTTGTGGGTATCGTCGGATGTAACAATGTATATCTTGTTGGGTTAGTGAAAGAAAATTCACTCCATGAATGCGACCACATTAAACGTAGTTTGGTTTTGAGAGTAACAAAGTAATCACCCACGCATAAGTTGTAGTCTGGATGTGGATTTCCAATATTAATACTATCTTTAGCAAGTTTATCGACATGTTCATTTTCTGCTAGGCCTATATGAGCTTTTATCCACAAAAAACGAATTAGTGTACCAGTTAGAGATAACTCTGCGACAAGTTTTTTAATTTTAAAGATGTATGGGTTACAATTAACAGTTGGGAGTTTTGTATCTTCCAAGGCCTTTAAAACAGATAGAGAATCGGAAACTAGCACTGCACTGTTGTGATGGATCGATTCGACATATAGTAAAGCTTCATATATAGCTACAGCTTCGGCACTAAAAATAGAAAATGAAGAGTTCAGGCTGTGTGATTTCTCTATGTTTCTAGATGGAATATAATAAGCAAAACCTGTTCCAGTGGAGGTTTTAGAAGCATCAGTATATATGATTAGGGCGTTTTCCCAATTAGATAGAAATGATCTTAATATATTTCTACTTATGCGTACATCAGAGTCATTATATGGTTGAATGATACGATTTTTGTGAAGAAATAGAGGATAGTCAACAAGTTGTGTTAGATCATCAGTTTTATATATGCTAGGCAACTGAGTTTGGCATTGTTGAAACGCAATGCACAATGGTGGGGAATTTTTTACTTTACTTTACTTTAATTTAAACTTTTTATGTCATGAAAGGTAACTTACAAACTAGATATAAACTTTTCAAATTTCTTCCTAAAACAATACTAATGCCGGGCCTGCTTATGCAAATTTCTTGTCAGTCGGAGGCTTGATAGCAGAAGTAGAAAACTATTCGTCGATGGTTAGAAATGTTTAAGTTCCTCTACTCACTGCCAGGGACCGCCACGTCCAGGGACACCTACTTTGCGGAAAATTATATCTACCTTTTTTGCGCGAAATGCGATTCCTTGTGTGTTAGACGCACACCTTAAGGACAGGCACAATCTTTAATAAAGTCAGTTCTAGAACCTAAATGATCTGCTCAGATATCAAAATAAGAGTGGCGCTAAAAATGAACTTGCAATAACTCTCTAATTTCTAGTTCATCGTGCAGTAAACAGTGAATACAAAGCAGGGCAAAGAATATTTCCTTGTGGTACTCCTGTTAGATTCTTGTTTTGTTATATACAATTCTTGTTATACATACAGCTTTAAAAGCATTTATATCAGTTTCAATATGAGTCCTCTATGCCAGTAGTTATATAAAACAATTTAATTTTTCTAATACCTTCTTTAATTAAAAAATATATCTTTAAATGAGTTAAAGGAAGATTATCTTTTTTTTATAACGAGTTAGTTAAATATTTAAATGTACCAATGATTTCTAAATATTTTACAATAAACTGATTAAGCTACACAAATAATGTAGACAAGGCTCGACACCAACGCCATGCCTTTTAATTTGTTAACATTTGTAAATCGGTCTCATCCGGCGCTTTTTCAACCGTTCGTCAGCTTCATCGCGCACTCTCAGTGTCTTTCTGTATCTGTTACGTGTGTTCGCCTCTTTTGCGCCCGTCCTTGTGCCCTTTGTGTCCTTAGTTTTTGATTTTGCTTGTGCACGATCGATCCGAAACCATGAGCCATTGGCAGTGTTTTATTGGATTGCTATTTCTTGCCATCATCTGCATACAGAAAAGTAAGTTTAATAGAGTTAGTGATTTGTTCTTTTAGAGTTTGAAAAGATTAAACGTATTTGAAAGTAGTGACCTATTTTCATTTTTAATGATGATAAGGTCCTGCTGATCGTGGTATGGAATTTAAAATACAATAATAATAATAATTATCCAAGATTTGTTTAAAAACAGACTACATGAAAACTAAACTTTAGATATAATTTAAAATAAACAACAATTATTAAATTTTATTATATTTAAATTAAAATAAATAAGAAAATATTTAGAAACTCATGTCATCGCCATAATATACAGGGTTATATAATTTTCCTATGTGGAAATTTCGTAAACTATCAGAGATATACAGGTTGTAGCAGAAGGTAATTCTGGAGTCAAAAATAGGTCGGTTAGATCCATGATACAAAAAATTACAGAGATATGATGACAAAAGAACGCAAAAGTTTGCGCACGACGAAATGTATTGCGGCAAATTTTAATGGTTTATTTAAACTTATTGAAATGAAGAATAATACTTAATTTAAATCAAATTGGAATAATAATTATGAAAGGTAGACTTGATGATAATGTGAATATTTATAATATTCCAATTTAAATAAAAAAAAAATAAGGTTTTTCTTTAATGACATAAGCTCATGGGGCGCTTGCAGGACAGGCTAGCAGATTTAAATGAATTTTCCCGCGATCATCTAAGTTTGCTCTCTTAAGGATGCCACAGCACTTCCGGTTTTTGATAACATGATTTAAATTTGAATTTTAGATAATCCTTTCCTACGTAGATGTAGCTACACTCTTTAACCTCCATATTTTGTCCATTATATCGCATAATATACACAATCATACTTTTATTTTATGTTCCCAGTTAAGCTGGTCTGGTGGAAAAAATTTGTCAACACCTCGTACATGTAGATATCTATTGCTAGGCAATCTACCAATTGTTTAGCGAGGTTTTTCTCGTTTATGGGGAATTAAATATTAAGCTGTCTAATTAGGGTCGCAGGTATACGAGGAATAAATACTTATTGTAAGAGTCTGTTAGTGACACTGGCCCCTCATATTCTATTATAAATAGGTAGGTATATTTATCTCAATTTACAAATAATGATTGAAATATTACATTTTTGGTTTCGGTTATGAATTTGTGCAATACAATTATTGATATATCTAACAAATACGTTTAAATTACTTTTCTTTACACCCCAAATATTGTTTGTGTCTATTCATATGGAAAACTTTTTTATTATTGGTTTTATTGTGAAAAATTTATTTTTGATTAAAAGTTCTGCATGGTCCAAAATTTAAAATGCAACCATCAGATATCTATAGTCTGTTCGCTATACTTACGCGGGTTTTAAATTAACAAAATTGTGCAAATCAGTTATTGACAACCAGTTCCAATAAGCCTCTTCCCAAGAAATTAGGTAAAATTGCCCTAATGGTTAGATTTAAATTAAAATAACATTAGGGTGGGTACTAAATTTGTTACAAATATTGTAGTTGAATTGGTTCTTTGCAAGTGTTGGCATTGTATGTATATTGTAAATTTAGTGGAAATTTTAAAAATGCCTAGACGTGTGTTAGATGTAGATAGTCTAATTTGTAATTAACTTTCTAAGAAAATATTTTAAATATAAAGAAGAAGGGGCGAATTTTATATATTTAGACGAAACATGGATATTTTCTAGGGGTGCAACTAAGAGAATATAGCAGGATGATAACGTAAAGTCCATCAAACACCGATGAAGAAGGGAAGCGACACATAATTTTACATGCAGGAGGGAAATCGGGTTTTATAGAAGGTGCTGATTTAGAATTTTCATCTAAATCAAAATCCAGTGACTATCACGATAATATGAACACAGAAATGTTTGTAAAATGGTTGCATGAAAAACTTCTACCAGGTTTAAGTGAGCCCAGCGTAATTATTTTAGACACTGCACCTTACCATTCTGAACTATTAAACAAAAGTCCAACGAATTCTTGGACTGTTGATAAAATTAAAGAATGGTTGACAAAGAAACATATACCATTTCCTCAATATATATTAAAATCAGAATTATTACGCTTGGCAAATATACACGCAAAACCAGAAACCTTTGTTGTGTTTACGTCTGCCACCGTATCATTGCCATTTTAATCCCATCGAATATATATGGGGAATAGCAAAACAATATTATGACAACCATATTGGGCCTAATGGTTATAGTGACGACGCAGTTCGGGAAACTTGGCGAAAAGCACTTTCAATTGCAACTCCAGAAGTGTGGCGGAACTGTATATCCAAGAGCGAGAAACTAATAGAAGATTGGTGAACTCGTGAAAATAAAATAAACGAAATAAGTCCAATCATAATAACAATTAATGGTGACGACAGTGATGATGATGACGATTATGATATTTTGGATGATAATGACTGATTTTCATTTTTGTTGGCAAGTTTAATTTTTTTATTTTTCATTTGAAATTCTCTACATGGAACAAATTTTTATGTTAGAAAATATTTTATTTGAGCTAAATAACCCTCTATATTATATATAGATCATATTTTCTGTTTGAAGTGTAATATAAAATTATTATTAGGTTTATAATAGCCAGATTAGACTCCATTAATGAAGAAGTTTAATTCTGCTCTCAATTATACAAAAGATTCTCCATTATTATTTAATTAAAAGTTGCACATTATTTTTCATTTCATTTAACCAGTTGATATTTCCCCAAAGAACAGGTCAAACTTTCGGGTAATTACCTGGATATACTCATAAAATTTTTAATCCGAAACCCGCGTAAGTATAGCGAACGGACTGTACCTACAGAAGCGTCGACACTTTGATGTCGGGGTGGTCAAAATTTAAAGTGACACTCGGTGTTATTCTACTAATTTTAATAACCAAAATGCACGATGATACCCATTTTTAAATTATTTTATATTACTATACGTTTTATTTATGGCTTATTTAAGTCTAACCAGACCATTATAAGCCATTATTAAGACATCTTAAAGACGTATAATTAATGCCTTATGCTAGACGTCTTAGTGCTATCTGGGCTGTTCCCTCAATTTGTTTTTATGTAGAGCTGTAGTCATTTGTAGCATATTTGTCTTTTGCAAAAAATAATCTTTCATGGTATTTGAGTAAAAAAATTTTATGGACTGATGGTTAGTGACTTAAAATCTTCAAGAAAACTAAGTTGGCGGTTATAACTAACGCAATCCGAACACTGTCGCTTTTAACGTTATTACAATAAATAAAATCATGACTTGCCATAGGTATCTACTGATAATAATGGTAATTTATTAATGTATACTAATCATACTTTATGTAACAAACGAAATGAAAAGTGAAAACAATGAGAAGAAAAATACTACCACATACCTATAATAATCAGCCATATATTTCATAAAACAAAATGAGGACATTACTATTTTTCATCATTTTTATAGTGTATTCTTTCCTACAAAATTATAAATATTGTTCAAATGGATTTAAAAAAAAAAATAACTGTCAAGTGACATTTGTTGTTGTTTACAGAAGAGTAGGTATTAAATTATAACTGCCACATTTTAGATGATTAATAAACACATTCGACAGATACATGCTTATTTTGTTACCAGTCCTGAACAATCTCACATGGAGGGATCTCCTAATGGCAATAAAATGTTGAATCTGTAAACCTTAATTACCTATATTAATAAAATGCCATGGATGACCAATAATAATTTAGATTCTACTTTAGCCCTTTTTAAAGCTCTAAAGGGTTGTAACACTGTCATGAAAAAGACCCTATTATATTCAAGAGAGGAATTTATTGCTATTACTTCAGCTTGATAGATGTTTGCCAGTAACCCACGGTTTAAACTAATGGTCCTCCTTGAGTTAACATGATAAATGTGCGGTTTTGCCTGTTCGAACCATCTAAATACCAAATTAATTTATTTTCTCGTAAGGGGGTGAATTTCCGATGGCATTATTAACACCGGATTTTGTTTCATTTTTCTAATATCACTGCAAGGTGCCTTTTTCCTGAAAAAAACCATCTAAATCCATCTGTAAACAGCCTGTATACCGCCATAGCGTCTTTTTACACCACAAGGTATAATGGAGGAAGACCTAGCAGTAACTCCATTGCTGCAATGGAAGTACTTCTAAAAGCTCCTGCTATTATTATACAGGCAAGTCTTTGTATGTTATCTAATTTTCTTCTGTCTGTTATGTTTTAAGCCATAGCACTCTTTCAGCGTTTCCTGTCCCTTTTCTATACAGCTGCAGAAGGGTCATTCCAAAATATTTAACTGCTGCAATTTTTAAAGCTTATTAAATTCTTGCTGGTTTCTTTTTCCCGTGAATGCAACAACATAGTTTTTAATGCGCTCTTTTAGTGCCTGTTATATCCTTTCGGAAACAACGATCCCAAATTTATTGTTTATCAAGACGCTCATATCGTTTGCAAATGCTTGTTTATATAAGTTTTCTCTTTTTGATTTCCATAAGAAATCATCAATTGCAAAGGTATATATGAGTGGAAATAAAACTCTTCACTAGGGGTATCCCTTGTTAACAATCCTGTAGGATCTCATTTATGTACCTATCCGCAGTCACAGATCCCCTAGGGACCATGTACAATTCTGTACGCGTATCCGAAGATATTCCAGCCCTCATCATAACTGAACCCTCTTGAGAAGTTACCCTAGGGCTAAAAGTGCACTCGGCATATCGTTCACCTTCTCTTCTTCAGACTCTTTCGCGACCATCTGGGGATAGTAAGCAAAATCTGGATTCATCGGTAAGCAATACAAATCTCCAGTCGTCTGCATTCCAATTTTGATGCTTCCTAGCGAATTGTAATCTGGCTATATAATGTTCCCTGGTAAGTTCTGCTTCTATAGCGGGTCTTCGAGATCTTAAATTGGCTTCATTCAACCCTTTTCTAACTGTACGTTTACTAACATTTACATTCTTGACATGTTCAAGCTTATTTATAATCTCTACAGCAGTTGTGTGACGATTTCTTAGTGTTGAAGATATCATAAAACGGTCATCTCGATGAGTAGTTCTTCTGTGGGGACCGGTTGGTTCTAGGACGTCGAGTGTAAACTCCTGTCTCTACAAAACGTTAAATACAAGTTGCACGGTACTGCGTGATACCCAGAATCTGTTAGTTACGTAAGTTTGGCTTCTTCCGTCTTGAATAAGAGCAACAATAGATGCAACAGTTTCTGCGCTTAAAGACATCTTAAAATTCGCATTAATTGACACAATCAAGTAATAAACCATAGAACATAATAAACACTTAACTTAACCACCTTTAATGTCAACGTGAAAATGACTGAAAATGCGTAGCCTACTTGGAACACTGAAGTAAGAGCAATATGATTGAGATTTTCGTACAATATTTGAACTATGTTCAATTTAAGAAGGCATTTCATGTTAAAAAATCATTAGGGTATTTTACTAAACCGTGCTTTTTGTTGGTCAAATGTTTTAAATTAATGCATTTTTATTAAAAATTAGCGAGATGCCCGTTTTTCGTGCTGGTGAGTGTATTTTTAAATTAGTTCTTTTTTAATTTTAGGTGGTGCTATGTCATGTTATGACTGCAACAGTGTTAACGATAAACGATGCCTAGGTGACCTAAACAATAAGTTAACAGATGATATGAAGAAACCATGCCCAGAACGAAAAGGAAAACCATACACTCTTTGTAGAAAGATCAAACAAGTTATTGATTTTGAAGTCAATGGATGTAAGTAATATTTACACTTTGTTTAATTATATACGTGGATAATAAAGTTGGAAATAGACTTCAATCAAACTAAACAATACGGCATCAGGCTAATCTTGATTAAAACACTGACTGTTTATAGTTATATTGGACTCAGGTTTATTGATTTGTTAACTCTTGTAACGTACTTTGGGCGCCACTTTGTAACGTTATTTTGTAACTTTTCACCTAACTTAAGTGATATGTTACTAGCTCACTGAAATGTTAGGATTTCCAATTAAGGAAGAATGGTAAAAATTCCGAGTTCTATCGGTTTTTTATTTCATTCCAGGACGCCAAATGTTACCAACTTTAATTAAAGTTTAAAAAATTAACACCTGCCTTATCGTTTTAATGAGATATGATTCACATAGAAATAAAATTAATCATTTAGTTCTGAAATATTTACTTGAAATATTACACTGTTCTACAGTGGTTTTGTTACCCTAGATATAAGATTGTCGATATTTTATGCTTACAATTCATGAAACTATCAATGATTTCGTAAGATTTGCTCTCGTTTACTTCAATATTATCAAATAACTAAGATCTCAGCAATTCTGCGGAGCAAGGGGTCTGAGAGTGGAGATCACGTGATGTTTGTATGCGCGAAAAAGTTGCGCATAAGCCTAATCATGACTGGGGAAATAAATTTTATTACTAACAAGCCGATAATTGTTTACTTTCATGAAAATATTCGTAATTTAGGCACTTGAAAATATAAAAATTTTCAAAGACATCCAGGGCAACAAAAAAATTTTTTTTTGTATAGCTGTGTTATTATTTTAATTATGCCGAGTGTCTTGAATAACTGAATTTTAGTTTTTAGTTTTTTTTTTTCGTAATAACACATAATGTACTCTCTATTTTTTTTATATTTCAGTACAACCAGACAGCAGAGTAATTAGAACTTGTGGGTATGAAGACAGCCAATACGCCAATAGATGCTACCAAAGGTCTGGTTTCGGTGGAAGACAAGAAGTATGTGCCTGTCAACACGATGACTGTAACAACAGTTCAACATTATTGGGATCCTTATCTCTTGTGTTTGGATTATTTTTATTAAAATGGAACTTCTAAATATTTTGCACGTTCCATAAATGCTCATTTCTAGTTTTTTTACCAATTTATTTTTATTTCAACACATGACAAGTATCAAAAAAGACCCCACGTCTTCGTCAGACGTGTTTAATATTTTTAATTTTTTTTAGGCATTTTTGAAAGAACAGAATAAAATCATTTTTTACTTTAATTCTTATAATATACCTACATTAATTTAGTCGTAATTTTATTTTGTTTTTTACAATTAAAGTAAAATATTACACACATTATCAAATAATAATTGAGTACCTAAGTAACAAAGGGCAAGGTAGTTGAAAAAAGTTTAGTAAATAATATTTTCCTTTTTAAAACTAGTATATTTAATAGATCTGCATTAAATTATTAGCAGCAAATCTATACAAGGTGTCTAAAAAGTATTGGCAGATATTTAAGGAAAGATTAGTTTGATTTAAGTAAAAATTTAAAAACAATTAAGGTAGTTGTAAAGAAATAATTTACGATGAACATCATCCATAACATTAACGTTAAAAATACATGGTAATCAATTTCTATATAATTTTTTTCCTTATGAAAGTTTTTTTAAATAATATTTTAATCACTTTTTGGATTTTGTTCAAATTTGGATAGGTGTTCTTTAAAAAAATTGTTCCAGCTAAACACCTCGTACGTCATTGTAATTTTAGAGAAACAGGCTCTAAACTAGAAATTTAAGGCTTTAGCAAAAGCGAGAAAAGATTTAAAGAAAACAACAGAAAGATTGGAAAAGAATGCAGCTGAGTTTGAGCTGACAATGAATGAAAATTAAATTAAATTCATGTTATTAGACAAACGCAACTAGGAATACTTATAACAGTGGTAGCAAGTAAGGACAAAGAACATACGAGTACCTACCTTCGAAAAGGTCAAAGAATACGTATATTTAGGGGTAACAAAATATGAAATTGGCCTTGAAAAACAGGAAATATAAGGCAGAACACGCTGAAAAGGCTAATAAGAATGTGTCTCTGAAACTTGAATATTAAATAGATGGAGGAAAACAGCTACAGATATGGTATACAGAAATGTTCAGAGCAATATATGGTGAAATGAATATAGTAAAAGAAATTAGAAGAAGAACTGATAAAGAACTATATGTACAAAGATTCTAATTAAGAAGTTTTGTAAGAGCTTAAAGGTCAAGATTTTTGAGACATGCGATCGGTCCAAATGAGAAAGAATATCAAAGATGGTAATATACAGGAACTCAATAAGAGAAGGAAATAAGGAAAACTAAAGTACTCATATCAGAGGACTTAAAAACCATAGATGTTACAAATTGGAAGGACAAGATGGCGGATTAAAGGGATTTGAAACGAATAGTGAAGAAAATGTTGGATAATAAATAAAAATAACAATATTCTGGAGAAGAATACTCACCTTTTTTTTATGAAAGTCTGAGAAAAAAACATTTTGCTATAAAATTAAATATCTAAAATAAAAAAAAATTGTCAAAGAAATAACTAAAGGGGTTAATTTCCTGGAAATATGAAGAGGGTCAATTTATCCTGGATACCATTCAAATTTAAACTGATTGAGGCTATATTAAAAAAAATCTGTATTCCTTAAAATATCTCCCAATACTTCATGGATACCCTGTATCTTTGGGGAGTCAAATTGCTTTTTAGTGATGACGGTTCCGAGTGTGTCAAGACGTCTCTGATTAGAATATTTTGCTCAAAATCTACTTTAGTGTCACATATCAAAAATTTCAATAGGTATAATGTAGTTTATATCATTTTTTGTAATTTTGAAATTGTATATTTTTTCTGCAATAATTTAAAATAAAGTTTAAAGACTTTTTAAATATATAGATTTAGATTACTTTCAGATGACTTTTATTATAAAGTATATCTACGTAATAGTTTAAAAAATTTAAAAAGCACCCTACACATCCTAAGCAGATAAACCGGAGTCTCAAAATTACTTTTGAGAGTACATACATCCAAAAACAAATATTTTGCAGGTACATTGCAAGGGATACATTTTTAAGATCCTACTAAATGTACCTAAAGCTATATATTTGCTGAATAAAAACTCAAATTTGTGAATTTGCATAAATTATGTCATATTTAATTTATTACATGTTTCATTGAATGTCATACCTTTCAATGTCCATTTTGCTATTTTGTTTTATCTATCAATAAATATAAATTTTGAATTGATATTTTAATGTATGAAATTGATACCATTAGCAATACCATTCTCTTATTTTTAAACTGGTAAATATGATATAGTTTATGATATGACACAATTATTAGAATATTAAATTATAGAAATAGGTATTGTAAATTGTTAGTGCGAAATATGTTTTGAATAAAAATAAGTACAATGTAAGGGCAAGTTACACAAATTGTCTAGAAACACTTTTGTCTAATAAAAACATTGAATTAGAGTTGATTTTATTCCGATTTGAGCAAACATTCTTTCTCAATAATTAATTATTAAATATTCAATTTGATATTATACCAAAATATGAATTTTTATTGTGGTTATAAGCGTCTAATTATTAACTAAACTACACCTTTAATCTATAAATCTTATGAACTAATTGCTTATTTAAGAAATGTATTCTTTTTAATCATCTGCTGACTATAGAGTTGTCCAGTAAATGCAGCGCTTCTTCATTGACGTGGCAGTAAACCTCTGTATTTCTTTAAAATAAATACAACTCTTGATCAACGACGCATCTTAGGATGTTATTTTGGAAAACCTGTACCATGTTGATATTACTTTTGATAGCATACCCCCATAGAGGTATGCCATAAATCCAGACCGATTTTGGGATTTGTTTGTAAAGGGGTTTTCTTTTAAGGAGTCAATCAATTTTTTTTCACTTTTTTGTTCTTTGATTCTATTTTCCTGGTCTTTGTATTATTTCAGCCAACTGCCGATATTACAATGCCATCTGCAAATGTTGATATTTTACACATTGTTGTTGAGGGATATTGCTAGTGTATAATAAGTAAAGAACCGATCCTAGCATACTTCCCTCTGGTACACTTGCTTTAATTTCTTTCATTTTGTCTTTCATGCCTTCTTTAACGAACATAAGGAATCAAACTTTTTACATTTAACTTTTTGAATTTGCAGAAGTCAAATGTGTGTTTTCTCTGGTTTATTACGATAAGTTACATCCTTGTCTAAATATTAATTCTCCATTATTGATGACAGGATGTTAATTTTAAAAGGTTGAATCATCTCTAAAATTCGATTATTTGATTTAGCTGAAGAGTTTCTGGACATTTTAAATATTTATAAAATTATTTAGTTTTACCATTTGTATGTTTCATCCATTGACTCCATTAACAAACTGCTCTTACATAAATAATATAGAATATATTTATAGGAATGTTTGGTAGATAAATGCAACAAAAATATTTAGTTGAAAGATCATATCAAAGTTAACTTACTTAATTCAAACTAGTCTTATTAGTAACTCAATTTTTGTAGATATTGTTTCAAATTGCTTTTCATGAAGTAGATATGTCTAAAAACATGTAATAAGGGAACATTTAAATGTTATTGTTGAATTAAAAATCACGTAAACGAAATTAAATACAAAACATTAAAATTTTGGTAGTTTTATTTTAAATGAGTAATGTATACCTACCTGAATAATCGATATTAATTATCTGTAACAACGCATCGATAAATAATCAATAAAATAAAACCTGTATTTATTTATTTATTTAGTTAGATATTAATGCCGCGTTTGAGAATCCACATCGGATGCATTTTTTACATCTCGAGCGTTTTTTTATCCACATCGGACACATCTACTACATCTACATCTGCGTTTGTTTATCCCAGATGTACCTGTTCAGATTAAATTTTTTACATCTCGATTTGAAATGAGATGTGAATGAAATGTTCGTTCCATGCCAGAAAGTAAGTGTTCTGTGAAGCCTTGTTTGTCAATTTATCCTTTGTTTATGCTAGCATGAATATAAAAGTGATTAGTTTAATTTTAATGTTTAATTTTTGTTTATATTTCAAATTTAGGTTGATTTGTAGTCTCAAAAGTCAAATTTAATAAGTATATACCTCTAACTTGTCATTGACATTTTATCACGTGACCAAATAAAGTCTAGAGCGTTTGTTTATTACATCTACATTCAAATCTAATTCTCTATCACGTGATAAAAAATTCACAACATCTCAGATGCATCCGATGTGGATTCTCAAACGCGGCATAAGAAGCAAATTGGTAATCAAATATTATTATTGTTTATTAATCGCGGTCATAAGCAACTAATAGAGTAATTATAAATGGTTACAATGTTGCCAAATATTATTACTTGAAAATAATATGTAAAATTAAATAAAGTGTTGCATATTACTTGAATTCAACAACTTTATTACCAAGGGTGAGTTTTTGTTTATTTTCGGAGCAGCAGCAAATTTAACACTCGATTTTTGAATAGGTTTGTCGAATATATCATCATTAGCACATTCATCAATGAAGTGTTTTCTAAAAACGTCTTCAGTCTTTTCAATATTTGCAATGCAAGTTCTTGCTCTGGCAGATACAGGTATTCAGTCTTTTCTGCTTATATTCATTCAGCAGTAACTTAGCCTGTCTTAGTTTCAAATGATTTTTCAAATTAACATTTCTTTTACTGCCCAATTCTTTTTTAAACTCTCCTAATATTGTGTTACTCCAGACTATTTTTAAGCTGGTTACGTAAGAGCTCAGCGCTTTGATGGCTGCTTGGATATCGGACATGAAGATAATCTCTTGTACGCGATAATTTCTGTCAATGTTTAACTGGATACACTTCCTAATGGCGTGAATTTCCTTAAGGAAGACTCTTGGGTATCTACTTAAATTTAAGGAGTGCCTGATTCTATGCCAATTCCAGCTCGTTGTTTTGAAACCATTCGTATCCATTTTTTTTTAATGTTCTTTATCATTAAATAATGTAGGAGGGTGAGTTTGTTTTGGAGTTACTGCTGAAGTTAGTAATTTTACTAAGTTACGTGAAATTATGGAGTGTAGAGATGAGGAGAACTATTTCTGTATACAGAAAGTCAGAGATTCAAAAAGTGTTCCTCAAAATGTATAAAATTAAGATGGCGCTTCTGTACCAGAGGGACGCTGACAGTCGATAATTCAGAACCACTGATCAGATCAGTGTTCAGAACATACAAAGACACTAATGATGTATATAGTTATATACATTGCTCACCCATGTGTATGGAGTTTAGAGGTAAGGGGATATATGCTCGAAGGATACACCCTAAAAATTGAAAACTACATCATGAGAAACCATCGTAAAAAGTGACTGAGCTTATAATCGTAGAAACAGCTTGATAATAGATGAAAATAGTGCTTCTCGTCGTCTGATTTACATGGGTGAGCTATCTATGTAACTAGATGTCTAGTATACGGGCGCCAACTTAATTTCTGGGGGACACTGAGATAAACCTTAGACTAAAGTCATATTCGAGCGGTCAAATGGTTTAAATATATTTCATGCTATTTGAAAACGAGTGACGTCACCTCAAATTAGGTTTAAACCAGCTGCATCTGTTTTTGACACGTTTCATTAAGAACGTTTCGAAGAAATAGAAATGTTATTAATGTCAAAAATAATAACAAACATCATAGAGGATAGGAAAGACAATAAAATTCGTGATAAAAAAGATTATTTATATTATGGTCATAAGAAAAAATAAAAAATGCATAATTATGAAGGTTTATAATTTAAAGGAATGTTTGAAAACTTGATCTTGTAATTCCAAATAACTGGGTAAAGTCAGATTCTAAATATAATAATCCATTTTTCATAAAACTCTGGTAATACTACATAAGGTTCTCTTTGGCCTTAAGCAAAAAATTTTTGTTGCTAGAGATTTAAAAAACTCACAAATCGTTAACTTAACAGTGACATCACTGTTTTCAAATCATTTATTTGAGCGCTTTCAAAATTTATGACGTAGTATTAAAACTGGTTCTAAAAGTTGTTGAAATTTTTTTTAAACCAAAGAGACCACTCGAATATGGCTTAAGATAAACAACTATAAATTTTAAATTTTCGTTCTTCTTTTTATCAAGTTTGCCAAATTGACTGTAGTTGGTAGGTCGAACGTTAGATACGTTAATTTTCTATTTAAGTCAATGCGAAATAAAGTGTTTTTTTTTACAAAATTAATGAAAATAATCAAAATAATGTGGAAAAAAGTACCTGACTACATGTAACATGAGTGACAAAATACATCAAAGCAAGATTTACTTCGTTCCAGGCTATAAAACGGGATATCAGATGAAAAATCAGATGAAGAACTACATAAATCACAATGAGAAATCAGTAGTCTTTAGTATTTGTACTTATCAAAAAGTGTTTGTTTTCATTAAATAAAGATAGTTTGACAGTTAAGATTACAAAATCACAAATGTCAGTCGTTTTTAAATAATTTTCATCAGATAAAAATCAAGATTGCAGCAGTCGGTCATTTATTGGTCACGTGATCCATCATCAGTACATCATTTTTTTGAATATTAGAAAACACTTTTACAGAACAAAAAACACTGGCAATGACAGATCTAATCTGCGCCAGTTTCACACACTGCAAAACTGTGACTCTTTTCGTAGGTTCTGAATGGGGAAATATTGTTGGAAATACATTTGCAAATAATCGTTTTCTTGTTCCTGACTGATAAAAGAATTTATCCTGGAAGTGTAGTTCACAAATTTTGTAGTTTTTATTTAAGTGTTCAACACCCATTCCCAATGAGTTCTCTCTATTTGCTGCCTCAAGCCACAATTCTAGTCTGAAAAATACATACAATCGTTGTACTACCATGTTATGGTAAGGTTAATTCCTATTTCATCCTCAAGGTTTCATACCTACCTCACTGGATCTTTCACAAGAGTGAACAATCCTTCTTTGTCACCTGTTCTTGAAGTACATCCACGATAAATACAAGTACCTATATCCTCCTCCTCTTTGACGCGGCATTGTTTATAAACCTAATCTTAATACGTACAATAAAGTCTTAAATTAACAACTACACAATTAAAAACATCAACAAAAACTAAAAATAAACCACTAAAAAAACGGAAAAGTTATCAGAATATTCGCTAAAAATAACCAAAAATCCAAAACGACAAATAAAGACAGGACATGAAAAAAATATTGACAGCAGTGACAGCTTCGTTCATCTGCTATAAAAGTGTACACTGTTGCACTTTGAACAAGTAACAAATCTACGGATCAATTTTGACAATGCTCCACCATGAAGAAGGTGTGGCTTTGGTTGCTAGGTTCCTGTTTTAGCCCTATGTTTCTTTTCTGTATTGTCACAGGACAAGAGGAATGTCATATAATTGATTTTGAGCAATTTGAACTAACACAAGTTCAATCCACGGCAGATTTACATGCGTGTATATGTCTATAAATAAGGCTGTTTTGTGTAAAATTACACTGTAGTTTTGACTTAAAATAATAAAACTTAGGAATTAGTGTAGTACAGAGGGTCTGGAAATTGAGTATACATAAAGCTACCACAGATTAATGGGCTCAAAATAAATTGATTTAACCAAACCGCTGGAGGTCATCAAAGTTAAATAAATACATCAGTATTTTCTCTATTCTCCAGAATTCAGATATTTTAAAAGATGAAACTTGGTATGAATACTATTGAAATCATAGGCGCGTCTAATTAGGTAGAGGGCAACGGACATTTTCCCTATTTTTTATCTGTCACTTTTTGACATTTTTGGTAGGTAATAAAATAGGAACCCATTGAGTTTTTACTCTAAAAAGTTACTCTTATTCGATGTCATCATGACAAAATAGAATTGAACTTTTCATATCGCCATGCCTAACATCCCTACTTAGTACTATCAAAGATGGTATCAATGAAATAATAATAATAATAATAATTTTTATACGCTGCATACGGAACACTGCCTGTGGAATCTTTAGGTGTTAAGGAACCGAAACTTTGATTATTTCGGACACCCTATATGTAAACATTTAAAATTTATATGTACATCTAGTATGTCGCTAAGCTGTTGATGTTAAATAAAACTTTGACATTTTGTTGTCTGTCATGACAAATCTATGTTAATGTTTTTTATTGAAGTTAAAATGTTATAAATGGTTTTAATATTACTTTTCTTAGAAAGTAAGAAACAAGAGGTAAGTCACAACTCATTAATTAAAAGATATTATTTCATAATTCGCAACACAAAACAATAACCTGTTAACTTTTAAAATTAAAGTAAAAATTTGTGTTTTAGAAATTTATGATGTTGTGTAATGCAGATAATTCAAGTTGTTTTGTAAATATATTAAAAATAGATATCAGAAAATATGAAAGCTAATTCATTTGAAAATGTTGTTCGTAGAAAGTTCTTTTATTCGGTAGTTATTTATATCTATATCTCTAGATATATAAAAAAATTACTAACATAAGTAGGTAGATCAATCAATACACAAGCAAACTTTAGGATTGTTCCTTTTTGATGTGTGACTCGTGCATGGATGCATTCGTAAACTAATCACAGCGCATGTCAGTCCGTTTAAACGTCCGTTGTTTGATCAACGACTTGTCGTTGTTGGAACGCAAAATGCAATGGAATTAGACGAACCAAACATCATTTTTGGTAAATAGGTATTTTAAACATTATTTAAAATACAACAAAATACATTTATTTAGCTGTTTCGAACGATCTATGTGAATGTATAATTCTGAAAGCTTAAGATGTTTATTTTTATCAAAAATAAGTACGTATTTTTTATAAAAAAGAACCGTACACAATATAAAAACAAAAATTATTTATTTCAATTCTGTGGCCGGCGCTTAAAAGGTCATAAGTCGTTTTTTACGTAGAGTTTTTATTTAAGATATGTTTGGAAGAGTGTTTATTTTAGGCAGTTAAAAGGATCTTAAGTCTATATACGTTGTAAAGTAATAAAAATAAGGTACAAAAAAACATATATAATAATGAAAAGGTAATCGCGAAAGACAAAACGTCAGACATAAACAGTCAAATTTTGTAACAAAAAACAGTAAAAAGATCGTCGATTTGGATTCTAAAAATCCTTATTGATGTGTCCCAAAGTTTTTAGCGCCATTTTTTAAAATTATGTAATATCGACTTATTACTTTTTAAGCGCTGACCACAGAATTGAAAGAAATAGAAATTCAAGCCACTCCAAGCTAACTTAAAATGCGCATGTGCTGATAAATTGTACGAGCGATGAAGCTCTGATCATTTTGACAATCCGCTGACTCATATTTGGACGTGGATATGCAAAAAGGAACCAAGCGACAACAAGATAGTTTTGAGAAAACGAGATTTATAGCGTTTTCGACTGGTCACACTCAGTTTACACTCGTGAAGTGCGGCTTTTCGTTGCTCAGCACTGATTCAATTTAGTGATGTCAAACAAACTTATTTCAACCGAACACGCAGTTGACCACCCAGTGCATTGTATTGTATCTGCTAGCTGTTATCTGATTGATAAGTAGAAGTAGTACCTTCCAAATTTCAAATAAGATCCAAGCCAAGATTTCATTTTAAACATTTATTTAATATTGTTATAGAATATTTTATCAACAGATTAACATAAACTTACTTATGTTTAAGTTCTTAAGACGTCAACGGATACTATGCATATACAGGACTTACAATAATATTTATGGTACCTACCTGGGAATTATCTAGGTGCGACACCACCGATTCAATGTAATCTATTATTTTTGGCAGTTTTGTTTCATTAAACTTGGCTTTAATTATATCTTCTTCATCTGAATCTGACGAAAAAGTTTTCAATATTTCTTTACAAATTCTAAAAAATTTATTTATTATAACTGAACTGAAACTGAAAACCTGTCTCTACACTCGGTTCACAAAAGTGCGCACCGGTTTATTTTTTTGAGGTCAACTGATTCCAACCGAAAATTCAAAAACTGACCCGGTTCGCACTGCTCTTGCGAGTCAAAAACAAAGTTTACACCGAGTGTTAAAAAGTGCGCACCAGTTTCACCAGTCGAAAACGCTATTAAAGTTTTTGCAACATCAACTCAGTACAAAAAATAAAAAGTTTTAATTGCACTTTCTTGCACTTCATTGCTTTTCAACAATTTAGGTTTTGTTTTAATTTTATATTCAAAAAATAATCTTTTCATGCATATGAACACATTTTCGGAATTTTCTCGCTTGGTTCGTTTTTGCATATGTACGTCCATTTTATGTACTGTATTCGAACGGACTATTTTCAATGTGCAAGCATCTGACGTCCTTTACTAATGGTATGCTGACTTTCGATTCAAAATTCGTCCAAACCGCGCATGACGTAATGCAGGACGAACTTTCAATTTATTTTGACACTTTTCGATTGAATAGTGTAAAATAATATTTAATAATTTATTTGGTTTTGTGTTAGTAGTGACTATATTTTCCTATATATAACAGGAAAGAACTAAATTAATGTTTAAAATGCCGGTCTGCGCGGTGGAGATAATTCCGAATCCCACAAAATATGGGTAAATTCTTATCGAAGAAAGGACAAACTTAATTGAAATTGCCCTATCCATTTTGAGGAAAGTAGTTGTGAGATTCCTATTATACATAGACGCAAGAAAAGAAAACTGAATTTCACCAGGTGCACGGGCCTCATTAAGCAACGAAAATAAATCGGTATTTTAAAATTTTAGCAGATAAAACAGTAGTTTCCTGTCCCAATACAACGGTTCTTTTGAAGTAATGCCATGCATGAGCAGGACAAGAACACATATAATAAGATAATTGAATAGAAAAATTGGTTTGAGTATTTTCGAAGTAAACTTGACAAAAAATGATTAAATTTACCAAATAAAAAGTAACTTTTTGTGTATTTACCAAATTATAAATAAATAATTTGTTTCTGCACACTTATTTTTATTTCACATAATAAGAAAAGAGATTGCAAGAGAACTACCCCGCCCAGAAAGTACAAATTTGAGTCAAACTTGTATTTTTAGTCTGTATTTTTTACTTATCTTGTGGCCAGGTTATCGATTTTGTCACAAAATACCTATAATTTATGAGAAATTAATATTTTTATTACTATTGTTTACCTTAAACCTTCATATTTGTAAACGAATATATTACAAAATAACCAATAAAGCTTAAGTAACTGCATAAAATCTAAAATTGGCAAAATATCGAATTTTAATGCTTATTCTTCTGTCCCACGTGACGTCACCGTCAGTCAGCTGCATGCGCAGGAACATACCATTAGTCTGTGTATCGTATATTTGTATTATATTATGTTGTAAACTTTGTTTTTTTGTGAGTGTTATTGGTGAAAAAGATTAAAAAGGTACGCTATTTACGGATCTAACAGTAATAATCAAAGCAAAGATACATTGTTTTTTCGTTTTCCTTGACAGTAAGAGGTAAGTCAGAAGTGAACAGTGGCCCAAGGGTGGCTGCCGTCCTTTCAGCGTTCAAGAACTATCTTCAAAAGTCACTGTCTTCACTATAACTACTAGTATCATTATCATTATATCTGAGGTATGGTCTATTAAGTTTTCCATTGCTATATCCACTTTCCAAAATGAATTTTCCACCTTGTTAACATGATCAATGCATTTTCTCCAATTATCTCCATTTACATCTGAAACTGCCTTCAAAAAAAAATTTCGCATCAGATAATTTAAATTCTATATTGTTTCGAGAAACATAACCTTTTAATTGTGACCAGACCAGTTCAATGGTAATGAGACAATCTGAGAATTTGAATTCCTTTTTCTCGGGCCATCTTATCTATAATATATTTTGTATTTTTTGAATTTGTTTCTATGTTGCCTTGTGTAGGGTATAAGGTTGTTAGTTAGCATGTATCACATACTTTGATTACTATACGGGGCAAGAGAGAGGTCCGATACGCCCAACATAGGGCGCGGCCATTTTGATTCCTATGACACAGTTTATAGCTAAAGAATTAGATCGCTCACTCTGCGTCGGCATTTTTGATCTCAATGTTCCAGTTTATACACTGCGCAACTCGGATAATACAATATATGACAACCGCCTATAATAAAACAGCAGTCTTCTGCGTATCCTGAACTTGTATCCCTGGAGTGGATGTTATTTTGGAAATTTCAACTGGTCCGAGTGAGCTAACTGATTCTTTAGCAATAAACTGTGACTCCAAAAATAATATTCACTGACAGTGACAGCAACAAGCAAAATATCAGGTGCGTTTTAATCATCCGCTTCTGCTTCCGGAATTGTCAGTTTAGTCGTTTTAAACTGTCAGATTAATATTACAGGGAATATTGTGTAACTTCTGGCCATCAACTTTTTTCTATGACAGTGGTTCGCCTTGGTCAGCACCCAATTCTTCTTCTAAAGAATTTTCTTCCTCCGCGATTTGATATTGCAATATAACGGCTTCAATTATGTTGTATATTCTAGAACTCCCGCCCGTATTTTTTTAAGACGAGGGCATATCTTTGTTGCTTGGAAATAATTTGGGTTCCATTATTTGTGGAATATTATTTGACGAATCACTGGAACTGTCATTGTCACTTGAGGCTGTATAGTTTTTATCACGAACACCATCATCACTGTCTTTGTCCGATAGAAATTCCTTCATCAAATGTTCAAGACGCACCCTTTCACTTTCGCACGACATTGTTTATGGTGCAACAGTCGACTAGACACTGAAAAACAAACAACCGCGCAAGTGTACGGCATCGGAAAAGCTAAAACAAACGAGTCGCCACACATTTTGTTTACGTGAGAAGCAAGTGTGCACCACACGGCCACGTGAAGTAGAAATTATTATCTGGGCCACGTGGTGCATACTTGCTTCTCAAAAGTAAAACTGCCAAAAAATTACTAAAAACCTAAAAAACAGTCTAAAATTGGAAAACAATGTTTTAAAATGTTAAACAATACAATTTTTTACTTATTAAGTAGTTTGGCTCAAAAAAGTTCATTTTTTTATCTCATGGCGGCAGTCAACGTGTTAAAATAGGTTGTAATGATAAAATATGGCTTTCTAAACAAAAAAAAATGTTTATTTTTTTTTTAAATTAAATGGACAAGTCGTTTTTAGGCTGTAACAAATCCCAATATGCATTAGTTAATGTAGCTACAAAAAAGTTTAACAGCTCTTTTATATTTTAGGATACGTATTAATTTGTTTTGAAACTTTGCATTAAATCACATGGAGCAAAATCGCGCCGAGAATACTTCCAGTCAACAACAAAATGTGCATTTGCATATGCACCACATGTGCAGCTGCCAAGGCAATGTCTACCCAACATATTACCCAGCTGTAGGTTACAGAACCCCAGTACCATCATTATTGACTTACCCACCGCCTCCTGTCCCACGTCCGTATTTACAACACTATCAGTATACTCAGTATAACATGGGAAATCAATATTCAGTACCAATCAGTCATGTTGCGAATACTGCACCAATATATGGAACATCAGTGACCAGTACCGATGTAGTAATCAACGCGGTTGCTAGGGAAAGAAGAGAAAAAGCTGGTTCCCAGGATGAAAATAGTGAAGTTGAACGTCTAAACGAGGTTTCGAATTGTGAATATGGTCAAATCACTCCACCAGCTAGTGAATTACTATTAACGGTATGTAGTTAATCATTTATATGTGTTCTAGGTTCATTTAAGTATTTTGCTTAATTAGAATATGGTATTGTAACAATAGTCTAATTTATTTATAGTTTATTTAAAACACACTATTTACAATTTATGACGTACTATTTAATTTATATAATACTTAGACACTTCTAATTTATTTATTACATTTTAACTTTTCATTCCATTACTCTATACTAAACTAAACTGATCGTCGATAAGTCGGCTATTTATAGCAAGTTCAACTCTGCTACGAGAAGTGCTGGTGTTTTTCCTGTTGATTCATTGACAGTGGTTTTTGCGGTTGCCATGGAAACCGCCAAGAAGATTTTGACGCCGATTTTTTTAAAAATCATCTCGGGCCAAATTTCATTGAAATCGATCCATCTGTTCGAACGGTACGATTTTTTAAAGTCGCCCGGAAACCCCTTATAAAAAATTTGCACGAAAAAAAATGGCGCCCGATGAAAAATTTCTGTGCGTGGTGAGGAAGATAGGATTGGGTGTTTTTTGGCGGTTGCCATAGAAACCGCCAACCGGATTGTGACGCATTTTTTTTTAAAACGCGTCACGTGAGTTTACATATTTGGACCAAGTTTCATCCAAATCGATCCATTCGTTCAAACGGTACGATTTTTTAAGTCGCCCGGAAACGAATTATACAAAATTTGGTCAAAAAAAAAAAATGGAGCCGCAGAAAAATTTCTGTGCGTGGTGAGGTAGAGAGAAGCAAAGGGTGTTTAGGAAAAATATTAAAAAAATTATTTGTTTTTAATAGACCGTCGAAAAACTATAAAGAAATTTTCAAAACGTCATAAAAGACAGTTGACAGGTGACAATCTTCATACCAATTTTGTCAACCTTGAATATCTTAAGCATCTACCACTAACACAAACTCCCTTCTTACGTGCACCCAATTTGTCGAGGGTGTCGCCGTATTTCGAAAAACACGATTTTGGATGGTTTTTCGTCGTTGCCATGGAAACCGCCCAGCCAATTTTAACGCATCTCGTGGGTTTACACCTTCGGGCCAAATTTCTTTAAAATCGATTTATCAGTTCGGACGGTAAGATTTTTTTTGTGATTTTGGAAACCCTATTTTATTAATAAAAGAAAATATTTGTCTGAGAGTATTCTATATTCTAGTATTCTTTAATATTACTGGTAAATATTCTACTTATCTTTTATTAGTAACGTTAACCTGAACTATTTTAATTTCGTTGATCTTAATGCGCCATCTTTTGTCTACTCGCATATTTTATTAGTTATTTGTTGAAGTTTTGTGGTCGATTCTTCTATACGTATCTTCTGTTTTGATACCTCTTCTATTGTTAGCATATTAGTAATTTTTCCTATTTTTCTTTTAGTAATTTAACTAATAATATTAGACATTATTTTGTTTACCATTACCTTTCTCTACTAGTTATGCTAAAAGTCATATAACTTCAAAATCAGTCACAAATTTGAAAAAATACATGCACCTATGAGATTCATTGGTCTCTGTTCTTCTTCGATTATAAATTTCTATAAAATCATACATGGCTGTGCCCAGTATTATAAATGAATATTTTATTATTGTTTAGTGAACAAACATTCTACTATTGTGTTCGCTGTTAGATAATAAAACACTGGGTTCCAATACTCCGATTTTAATATAAAATTTTAAACTACAAGCATTAAAGTTTTAACAATTATAAGTCTTTAACATAAGACCGCCAACCTCTGACAACCTGTCAAACGTCAATGTCTCTCAAAATATCCAGACCAATAATACTAACTCACACATTGCAGCCACCTATGTACATAACATCTACATTGCTCTTTTGAGGCAAACACCTCTACATTTCTGCATTTTAATACTTAAAATTGATTTCGATTGGTATTCCAGGACAATGCCGAAACAACAACTCCCGAAAACTTCGTAAAGTTTCTGGAACGAAGCTGCCTGACGGCCGAACAAATAGCTTACCGAAACCGGAACCGACCCTGTTTCAGAAACATTCAGAATTTGTGTATCCGCACGCGGTCTGAAATTTTGAAACCGTGCACTACAATTTCGAACATCCATTCGCAAGGTATGTATGTATTCGCTTATCTGAATCCGTATAATGCATCTTAAGCTCGCTTCACTAGTTACTTCCATTATAGGAAGAGGGTGAATAGATAATAGGGTTAAGATTTGATTGGCGGTTAGGATCATTAGAGCCAAATCATTAATTGAATGGTCTAATTGTAATCCATAATGTATCTGCATATGTGATCAAATAGGTAGAATGCAGATTCAAGCAATAATGAAGTCACTGTAGGGCCTTAACTTAATAAGGATCTATAATTGGATTAAATTATGTATACATTCAAATAATTTGGGTTGTGATTTTGTGAATTAGATAGGTATCTTTACATTTTTTGAAAGTAAAAATAATATGAAATAACAGTTATTTTCCTTTCTGATATAACCAGTTCTCGCGAATTTTTTTTTCGGAAGAAAAATGAAAAAAGGTTTTATTTGAATAACAGCCTACTGAATATTTGAATAATACTTTTTGAAACAATTAAGGGGCTGAACAAGAATACTTAATTTTACCCAGGCCAAACATGTTTTGTTACAAATAGGTATTTTAAAAAAGAATTGAAAATCGATCCAAAAAGAAATTATACTTCGTTAAGGCTTGCGCTTATTTTCTCGTAAGACACTGTACAAATACTCACATTTAAAAAAAAATTCTCAAAAATTTTCACGGTAAGGTATAGTTAAAAGTTCAACATTAGATAAATAAGGACTTCAACTATTAGAAAAAAAATAAATTTTAGCCATAATCTAATATTTTTTATTTAATATTGGTGGCGAAAGGGGTGGCGAAAGGACCTCCTTAAACACCTAAAAATAACTTACCTATCTATGGACCTGTATCCTATGGAGGAAGGGTAATTATATCCACTATAGAAAAAGTAAAAGTTGAAAAGGCTTTTGGTAGGTAGAGAGGGGGTAAACGTCAAACCATGTCGGACGGCTTCGAGAATTTCGCAGTAATAGAGAGTTTTAGCAAATGTACGTAAGATTTCCGCTAACGTTACGTTAAACTTAGATTGTGACCTTTTTCATTAACATTGAACGGAGTAGATTACAGTCTATCCCTAAGGTAACGTTAGCGGATGGTTAGCGGCTGTTTGCTAAAACTCCCTAATGTTTACCTACCGGTGTCGTTTCATAGAATAAGTAATTGTAAATTTTTATCGGCGGAACCGGACAATCGCATGTATTTATGGACTATATAATTATTAAACATGTATTATAATATTCAAATCATAATTTTACAAAATTTCAATAGCTATTTACAATTTATTAAACTATTTACTCGAAATTGTTGTTAACATGTATAAAATAATTTTGTACGCCAATGTATCACGTCCACTTTGGTGAGATCCTCGGCAAACCTGTCAATTTATGTGTATAAAGTGGGAGAACTGGCAAAAGCCTTTCCAACTTTTACTTCTGTTCACATCCTACATCATAATAAGTTTTATTCTATGGTTATTTTTTGTGCGTTTTTCGACCATTTCGCCTTCTGCCATTCCGTTATTCATTTTTAACGAGGTTATTAACACAGTTGTCAAACCTCTCTTTAAAATATCTCAACAATAGTATGGCTATTGTATGGATGGTGTCGAGCACGACAAAAACAAAATAAGGTACAGCTTATGTGTTTGAAATAACTCTAATATCATGAAAGTTTATGGAAACTGGCAACATCGCTGCCATCTTATTTGCGATGGTGGCTCCAAATGGTATGGCCAAAACTAACGATTTGTTACCAGTGCCGTGCATTTAAACGGTTTATCTTTTAATATTAATTTATCTATGACTGGCGCTGATCGCTATTTACTATTTTTATTCACTTTCTTGATGGAACCCCCCCCCATAGTTCTCAAAAACCCCTCCCATGAAAAATGAATGACTACGCCACTCATCAGAGTTATATTAAAATTAAAATTCGATATTAAATTACATAAGAGGAACAGAATATAATTCGTCAAAGAATAATTGATATTTCTTTACAAAAGATCAATACAACATTTTAGGCATTCCCTGGGCAACAAAGGATTTTATTTATGCTTTTGTACGTCTCACTAACTGTTGGCACATCTTAAAAGGATATTGGGAGAACAGAGATGGAGCCAGTCTTGGAAAAATTGAGAAGGAGTTAACTCCGGAATTTCGAGCGTGTTATGTTAGATGGGAAAAAGAAACAATGGAATTGGCTGCACAATTAACTAGGGTCTTTTATAACCTAGACACCAATCTTGTAACACCACAGGTATTGTATTTTTTTACACCTATAAAATTAATTAATTATGAATACATATTTTTGCATGGGCCAACTAATGTGTTTGAGATACATTTTAAGGATTTGTTTGTTATGTGTCTCTATAATTAATTTAAAATAAAATTTTTCATTATAATTAACTAATTACTACTCAAAATGTATTTTTCTCAACGAATAAATCAATTATTTGCTTTAAGAGGGTTCTATATTCGTCCGCTTTATTGGAAATGTTAATATTTAAATTGCGGGCTTAATATACTCTACATCCTGGTACTAATATTGCTACTTTATCGGGTAAGGATACTTTACATCGTTATTTTAAAGTAACTGTTACCACACAGATACCATTTATTGGAACTATAAACACCCAAAGTCAAAGTAACATTTGAGTAGTATCATTTTATTATTACTATAAAGTGGCAAGAACTATATAGTACCAGTATATCAGTTATTGCTACCCACCAGTGCCACTAATATGAAAAATAATAAAGTAAATGGGTACGTAGATAGGCAAAATAGTAAGTAACATTTGTGTAGTTACTGGAACTAGGTTTTTTCATTTTATTGTTATTCTACAGTGGCAAAAACTGTACAGTACATTTACTGTCACCCACCAGAGCCACTAATATGCCTAAATAAAATAAATGGGTACATAGAGAAGCAAAAAGGTTCCAGAATAGTTCCAGCGACCATCACTTGGAACTTTAAAGATTTGTGACATTTTAGTGGCAACATTGGCAGCGAAATAATTCCTGTGGATAATTTACATTTTTTGCCACTATCTTATTTTGACTTAAACCCACTGTAGAGTTTTAGGAACTTTATGGTGGAAAGCCTAACTTTATAATACCTTTTTTAACAGCTGCCATTATTAGTTGTTCCTAAAATTTTTGAAAAAAAAACTAGACTATTGTTGTGTTAATATCTTATAATACGAAACATTATTTTGAATTTGAATTTTATAATAAAACAGTGTATTATTTTCAAAGGTGAATGTAATTAAAACGCCGGCGCCAACCGAATGTTTGGTGAAGAAAGTTTCGACAGTCGAAAATGTGACCACTTCGACATTGACAAACATTTCCATTAATAATTTTCGTTCGAAAAACGTAAGAGGAATTATTCGTTTACCTGCGACACCTGTGACTGAGACTGTCGATCAAGCCAATCAAACCTATGCCGGAGACTTTTGTAACGTTAAAGAAGAAGGTTTTGATTCGGAAGAAGAACGACGGGTAAGTTTTAGTTTAATACGTTTTTATCTGTATTCTATGTTAGATACTAGTAATGAAAGTATTTTCTATTTTTTTGCTGAAGAATCCTAATAAGGACAAACTATGAAGTGTAGAGGTATAAGGAGAAAACTATCTCTGTTTAGACAAGGTGTCCCTCAAAATGTATGAAATTAAGATGGCGCTTATGTACAAGAGATACGCCGTCAGTCGATAATTCAGATCATGTATAGAGTGTAGAGATAAGGTTATATGTGCTCAAAGGGTATAGCCTAAAAACTACATCATAAACAGCCATCTTGAAAAGCGACTGAGCTTATAAACGTACAGAAAAGTTAATAATAAACGACAACAGTGCTTTTCGTCGTCTGATTTACATATGGGTAAGTTATCTATATAACTATATATCATTGGATCTTTCCCTTCTATTACACGAGCGCCATCTTAATTTCATACATTTTGGAGAACACTTTTTAAGATAGACACACGTATGAGATTGCCCCCCTTTTCTCTGCACCTCCATAGATCAAACCAAACCAAGAATGACGTTTTCCTTAGTAAGCAAATTCAAATCAAAGCTAGTTTTACAAATAATTGTCTAACTCCGCTGTTTTTCTTTAGATATACGAGTAATCTAAAATCTGTTGAGGCAAAAAGCCATAGTAGAATTTCAATCGTTTTTTAACAGAGTTCAAAAAAGGAGGAGGTTCTTAATTCGTCGGAATATTTTTTTATGTATGTTCAGCGATAATTCTTTAATACGGTGTCCGATTTCAATAATTCTTTTTTGTTAGAAAGGGGATACTTCAGGGGCGGTCTCATATAAATTTGGTCAAAATCTAATAATTGGATCCATGAGAAAATTTTCAAACTCTTTATTTTTATGTATGGTTAGTGGTAATTCTTTACCACCTTGTCCGATTTCTATGATTCTTTTTTTATTAGTAATAAATTTGGTTAAGAAATGGTGATGGCATCTGCATGATTTTGAAGTCGGTTTTTACTTTTATATTTACAACAATTTATTATTTGCTGGCTTTGTAAATGAGAACTTAAGGTATATTATTTATGCATATTCAGTATCGTCATTGTCAAAATATTTCTTGGTAACTTCCTTGTTAGGTGATTTTTTATGAAAAATAATTGTTTTTGGTTGATTTTAATATATTAGGTTTATATGAAGCCAGGTAGCTATAACGTTCCAAAACGAGACAGTAATGACGGTGGTACTGTAGCGAGTCCAAGGGCGATTGAATTTCTGGAGACTGCACAAAACATCAATAAGGCACAAGCTGCGAACGATAGATATTGGGCTAACATCAACGTTAGTGGAGCTAAAAAAACTGGAGATCCGAAAATATTGCAAGATGTAACCCCTGAATCAGAAATCGAGGTAAATAGTATTATTACTTTCCATTTATTTACATTACTTTCCATTTATTTACATTTGTCAATATTTCTAAATTTTTTTAAAAATTCGTTAACGTTTGTAAACGACAAATGATTGACTGTAAATAATTGTAAATGATTGTAAATGATTGTAAATGATTGTAAATGATTGTAAATGATTGTATATGATTGTAAATGATTGTAAATGATTGTAAATGATTGTAAATGATTGTAAATGATTGTAAATGATTGTAAATGATTGTAAATGATTGTAAATGATTGTAAATGATTGTAAATGATTGTAAATGATTGTAAATGATTGTAAATGATTGTAAATGATTGTAAATGATTGTAAATGATTGTAAATGATTGTAAATGATTGTAAATGATTGTAAATGATTGTAAATGATTGTAAATGATTGTAAATGATTGTAAATGATTGTAAATGATTGTAAATGATTGTAAATGATTGTAAATGATTGTAAATGATTGTAAATGATTGTAAATGATTGTAAATGATTGTAAATGATTGTAAATGATTGTAAATGATTGTAAATGATTGTAAATGATTGTAAATGATTGTAAATGATTGTAAATGATTGTAAATGATTGTAAATGATTGTAAATGATTGTAAATGATTGTAAATGATTGTAAATGATTGTAAATGATTGTAAATGATTGTAAATGATTGTAAATGATTGTAAATGATTGTAAATGATTGTAAATGATTGTAAATGATTGATTGTAAATGATTGTAAATGATTGTAAATGATTGTAAATGATTGTAAATGATTGTAAATGATTGTAAATGATTGTGAATGATTGTAAATGATTGTAAATGATTGTAAATGATTGTAAATTATTGTAAATTATTGTAAATGATTGTAAATGATTGTAAATGATTGTAAATTATTGTAAATGATTGGTAAATGATTGTAAATGATTGTAAATGATTGTAAATGATTGTAAATGATTGTAAATGATTGTAAATGATTGTAAATGATTGTAAATGATTGTAAATGATTGTAAATGATTGTAAATGATTGTAAATGATTGTAAATGATTGTAAATGATTGTAAATGATTGTAAATGATTGTAAATGATTGTAAATGATTGTAAATGATTGTAAATGATTGTAAATGATTGTAAATGATTGTAAATGATTGTAAATGATTGTAAATGATTGTAAATGATTGTAAATGATTGTAAATGATTGTAAATGATTGTAAATGATTGTAAATGATTGTAAATGATTGTAAATGATTGTAAATGATTGTAAATGATTGTAAATGATTGTAAATGATTGTAAATGATTGTAAATGATTGTAAATGATTGTAAATGATTGTAAATGATTGTAAATGATTGTAAATGATTGTAAATGATTGTAAATGATTGTAAATGATTGTAAATGATTGTAAATGATTGTAAATGATTGTAAATGATTGTAAATGATTGTAAATGATTGTAAATGATTGTAAATGATTGTAAATGATTGTAAATGATTGTAAATGATTGTAAATGATTGTAAATGATTGTAAATGATTGTAAATGATTGTAAATGATTGTAAATGATTGTAAATGATTGTAAATGATTGTAAATGATTGTAAATGATTGTAAATGATTGTAAATGATTGTAAATGATTGTAAATGATTGTAAATGATTGTAAATGATTGTAAATGATTGTAAATGATTGTAAATGATTGTAAATGATTGTAAATGATTGTAAATGATTGTAAATGATTGTAAATGATTGTAAATGATTGTAAATGATTGTAAATGATTGTAAATGATTGTAAATGATTGTAAATGATTGTAAATGATTGTAAATGATTGTAAATGATTGTAAATGATTGTAAATGATTGTAAATGATTGTAAATGATTGTAAATGATTGTAAATGATTGTAAATGATTGTAAATGATTGTAAATGATTGTAAATGATTCGTAATAATTGGTTATGATTCTTAATGACTGTTATTGATTGATTTTAAATAATTTTAATTAATTGATTGTAATTAATTGTAATTATAGGGTCCAGGGGAAAATCATGATGAGCGCCATTTTGTTAATTTTACAGGAGGGATAAAAACGCTTCAAAACATATTAATATGACAAAATTTTACTTGTAACAATTATGTCTTCTAGGTTTACTAATTATATTAACAGAAAATAAAATAAACAAACTTTGAAAATCCGAAATATTTTAAATAAAATATAAAAACTAAACTTTGGATATCAAAAATATTTTAAACAAAATATGAACGTTTAACAAACTGAAAAAAATATTTTTATATTACACTTGGCAACAGGAAATAAAAATGACGCAATCAAAAAACGGACTTGTTAAATTATTCCCCTGGACGATTTGTGGTTATTAGGTTCTTTCCTTGTATGTATATTTTACTAGGCATATATTATGGGAAATATAAAATTGGCGCTTATTATGATTTTCACCTCAACCTTTCAATTTTTTTATAATTTGATGTTTAACATTTGACTTTACTAAACAGACATTTGTAAACAGTAGTTTGTCAACATTTGTCATCGATTTGAAAACTAAAAATTGAGCCATTATTTATTAAATACTGATGAAAACGTACCTGTTTTCTTATATAAATCAAATAAAAATTAAAATTTTCTTTGAATATTAATAGGTATCTTTAAAATAACTAATGGATAAATGTCTTTATTAGCAGCTTAATCTGTCATCCCATTTAAACGTACACGAATGGTTGCTGAGCAGCAATTTTTCTGATTTTGGCGAACCGTCTCCAGTATCGACATCCACCCATGACATGAGAACGTTTTTCGTTGACGCATCGACTTTTTACGAATCATTACCCCAACTGGATACCGATATGCAAAAATCCTCTTCTATCAAAGTTTTACAACGTGGAAAACCTTCTAATAGAAATGAAAAGGAATCGGCCGCTAATGGACTTATTACAGGTAAAATATACTATTTTGAACTTTGTAATGCATGCACCCGACTTGAGACAGACTTTATTTTTTCCCCTTCTTTAAATACTCTGTACGCATATGAAGGACTGTTGGATTTGTAGGTTATTAAAAGTTGAACCCAACACAAATTATAAATACGGCCCTAAGGCTTACCAAGTGGACCTGTATCCTTTTGGTTTCACATTTTATTTTATTTATTATTATCTTTGCTCAGAGGTGATTTATATAACAGAAAAACTGTCGTGTTTTTAATGAGAACACGTCTGACTTCTAGTGAAGCACAGACTCGTTTACGTGACTGAAACTATCTGCGCTGATACAATTAGGCCAATGCAGTTTTGCTAATAATGAACATCTGGATTCGCTAGCACAGGACTGTCTTTGATATGTTTTGAAACAAAGACAATACACATTTCCACCTATAGGCAGACTTCAGTCATAAGTTATGGATAGAGATATGTATTAAGCCTTTGTAAATGGTATTTAGGAAGAAGAAAAAATGATGTCTGCCTTAACGTGTGCATTACAGGTACGAATTTAGCCCATTCTCATTAATTTCCAATCTTTATCTTTGCCTTCTTCCAATTTAAATCATGTTCCTTTAGAATTTGACTTTCTGTTTTAAACAGTTTGGATGAAACATTTCATTTGTTCGACGGTAGACTCTACTGTGACTAACACCTATGCGAACTTTCAAACTGGAGTGGCGACTCCAACATATTCTTTTCCACCATTCTAACTCCCAATTTCTGTGGTCTCTTGCCGACTTTAATCTATTTTTCTTCTATTTTAAGGTCAACTAACTCTGGTTTGTCTTTAGCCGTTATTGAAATATGTCACATTGAAAAAGGTCTTCCTATAACATAACTTTATAGTACAATTAATTGGCTATATTTAGCAAGCCTATTCTTTTTAACTATTCTATTTCAACGCTCTTCTTCTTATAATGGGGTTTTGGAGTAACTGAATTTCTTTTTCCTAAATATTTATAACATTTCTAATATTGTATCTTAATTAATACGAGTATGTCCAATAATTTTTTCATCTAATACCTCTAATATATATGCCTTATACTATAAGTTTTATTCCTAAAAATGTTTGAATTTTTTTATCTAAAGCTTTTTTTAAGATGGACCAGTAAGAGCTTTTAGAAAAACACCGAAGAGAAGCATAGGTATTTACGAAAACGAAGAAGGTATTACTGATACTGGAATTACAGTTTTACAGGATTTATTGAACGAGTTGAGAAAATATGATATTCTGGAAGGTCTTGACGCTTCGGACAAGGTAAGGAAATGTGCATATTTTCTTCTTTGTGTACTGTATAAATTAAAATAACTAATAGAAACAATTTATGAACCTCACCTATCATCATTATAATAACTATATCTTGTTTTGAGACATGTTTCTGTAGTAATGTGTAATATGAGTATTAATTGAGTTGTTATTGAGTTGAAGCAATCGACAACTAACACTGTTTAATAAAATTAATAAAACTCAAAGCCAGTAATACATAATAATAATGCGAGCGACCCTTTCCCTTCAGTAAACAACTACTCCCTTGGCAAACATGTATTGTATTGAACTATATCCAAAGGAAAGACAGCAGAGATAGAAATTTAATTTCAACACTACCTTTGATTTTGCTCACTGAGGAGAACGTCATTCTTGGACCGATTTCGTCCTTATTAGGACTCATCAGAAAGAAATAGATAGCTTCTTAATTCCAGTTTCTAATGGAATTAACAAATGATACACATTTCAGTAGTATATAATGATGTTAGTTACGAAGAGAATAGGAATTCAAGTAGTGAAATGGTGTCGCCATCTGTTCCAAGCAAGCAAAATCAAAGGCCGCTAGTAATACCACCCAGTTGAAAACTAGGTGGAATCAAAAAGCCAGGCTGGCAATTTGTAAAAAGAAAAATAATTCCAACTCAAATGTGACCAAGACGTAAAATCTATTTCTTGCTAATGAGACCTAATAAGGACGAAACCGGTCCAAGAATTGACGTTCTTTTTAGTAAGCAAAATCAAAGATAGTGTTGTTTAATACACTTGGTATATAGTAGTTGTTGTTGTTGTTGTCACCTCGCATATAGAGAAAATATATTACGTTAGTTAATAAAAGTCAAGTCGTATAAAAAGTCTGCTGCAAGGTACCGACCTTCGCCGAAGTGAGTGGCTAAAATAGTTAAATTCTAAGCGGGTGACGGATGAAAAAATCATTCCTGAAGTTGAATTTAATGCAATGGAGAGTACCAGAGCTAAATGTACTCCTCATTTGGGAAAGCAGTTAAATGAAAACTCAAATAGTTTGACAGCCATCAATCTCACCGACAGAGAGCAAACTCAAGTATTGCTAAATCAATAGATGGTAATTCAAAAAAGTCTAACAAGTCAGAAGTTATAAGTGAAAAAATACCGGTGTTACTTCCGAATATTTCTTTGGTAAAAATGTTCTGTAGCATATGTCGCTGGTGTTAGAAGAATTGGATTCTTTTGTAGAAATAACTAACGAGTCATAGGTAGTAGAAAAAGAAGTGTTTTTAATTTACTATTTTCACTGAAGTAAATACATAGTGGTTGATTCCATTTAGATATAATAATTTTCTTATCTTCACTAAACAGTTTTAAATATTTACAATTTTAGTTCATCACAATTTGATTAACAAATACAGTTGATTTTTTAGTTACCAACTTGAAAACATTTGTTTGTAGAATTTCTTATGCCATAATAATTGTAGAATATATAACTTGCACCAAAAAATAAACTGCATTAAACGCTTGTAAAAATGTAGAAAGTAATGTGCCGTCGGCAGAAAGCACCTGAACGCAAAAAACTGAAAATCGTTGGTGGCAATAAGACAACTACTGAATGCCGTTCGCGTCGAGCTCACCCTAATATATATACTGTTGGGCCAAAATGAGTGTCCGGGGTATAGTTGACACACCTATTCGGTTTCAACCAATGAAAACATAATGACATAATGAAATACGTCATTTGTGCTTCGTTAACTATGCGCCGGACACTCATTTTTTTCCAATGCACCGCTGTGCACCTGAAAACACAGGTGTTCGACGTTTGGTATTCTGAGAAAAATGCTATTTATAGTTTTATGACTTCACATTATATTAGGGTAAAAAGCAGTCGAACTATTTGAGAATTGTTTATTTATTTAGTAGATGTAAAATATTAATTTGTTGATGTTTTAACTGGTGAAATTGTAGAATTTAACCAATAAGGTTAAACCACGAGTTAAAAAAATCGCACCAGCAAAAAAAATTTAAAGAAGAGGAACATAAACTTCTTGAAAAGGGACATAATACCAGAATGAAAATAATTGCGGTTGAACAACAGTTATTAACCCAATAAATTGACAGTGAAGATGAGATTAAATCAGTTACTCAGGAAGTAAATTTATACGGAGACTCTGATTATCTGAATAAATGGATGGAAAGTGTAGATATGATACAATATTCACCTGTGCAAGGCACTTCAGGTCTCGTTGCGGGAGGAAATAGAGGCGATACTGATTTGTTGTTAAATATAACTATAAGGTCCATTTGTACCACTGATCGTTAAGAAATAAGCTAAACTTAAAATGACATGTTTTTATTGACAACGTCACTTTAAGCTTCGCTTATTTTATAACTACTAGCGGTGCGAATGGCCCTAATGCGTCCAAAATACCCTGTTAATCCAACAAAAAATGAGTGAAATGATAAATTTTTCTGGTGATTTTACTGAATGGCATATCTTTATTAACGATTTACTGAGCAAAGACTCGGCAAGCTGGAGCCATTCGACAATTCAATGGTATTCAAAGGCAAGCATGCCTGAGTACCACGGGAGCTATGAGAACGACTCCAACAGCAGCTATAGAAGTTATGCTAAATCTAACACCACTACATATATTCATTCAAGGCGAAGCCAGGTCTGTCACATACAGACTGCACAAAGGTTCATCGCCCATAAGCAGTTTGCATGGACGCGACTACAGCGAGCTATATAAAGAGTTGGAGAACGACCAAATAATGGGAATGCCTTCAGACGAAATGTTTCCAAAGTATAGCTTTCAAAAGCAATATAAAGTAAGTATACCAGACAGGGAAGCGTGGACGGGAGGACCTCCTATTCATGCAGATCTCACCTGGTATACAGACGGCTCCAAAACCCATGAAGGTTCAGGAGTAGGTATATATAGTACCAAGACAGGAATCTCACTGAGCTTAGGGAAACATACGACAGTATTCCAGGCAGAAATAGCAGCAATACATCACTGCGCAAAAGAAGTATTAAGACAGAAGGTAAATGGAAAAACGATTGTCATATACTCAGACAGTCAAGCGACGTTAAAAGCACTCAGTTCCATGCAGGTACACTCAAAGCTTGTGTGGGACTGTTTGGAAGCCCTATCAGAGCTGGGTAGTCAAAACAGACTAATCTTAGCCTGGGTACCAGGCCACAGGGGACACAAAGGCAATGAAGAGGCTGATTTACTAGCCCGAGAAGGAGCTTCAAATGCTCTTATTGGCCCAGAACCCTTCTGTGGTGTAACAAAAACAACTATCAGAACATGCACAAAGCAGTGGATGTTTAAAAAATCTCAGTAAAAAATCTCAGGAGTGGTGGGAAAACTCACCAGGACAGAGACAGGCCAAAAAGTTCTTAAAAGGACCATCGTCTAAACTCACCGAGCATCTACTAAGCCTTAATAGGAAAAATACTAGAATACTAGTAGTTCTATTAACAGGGCATTGTAGGCTTAACAAACATATGTTCAATATTGGTCTGACAGAAGAGGCCTTGTGCCGATTCTATCAAGAAGAAGAGGAAACGGCAGAACACGTATTGTGCTACTGCGAAGGTCTAGTAAGACTGAGATTCCTTACACTTGGAGAAGAAAAACCAAGGGCAACTAGCTATACCAAAAAACTACTTCCCAGTCTATGGAGTCTACTACAAAAGACCGCATTAGACAAGGTACACTAAACAATGATTAAAGGATATCCACAATAGATCTGAAAAGGTCGAAGTGGGGGAGGCCACATGGCCCATAGTCCTAATTAAATCTAATTTACTGAGCAATACAGACTCACTGAATACGATAGTTTGATGAGATTAGATCGTTGATTAAAAGGTGAAGCCAGACAAATAGTGAAAGCCTTGTTGACTATGCCTGAAGATGTCCCCAAAATTATAAAGATACTGAAAACCAATTTTGGAAGATCAGATTTGATAATTCTCTCATTAATGGATAAAGTTAGAAAGTATAATGTATTGAAGGAAGAAAATATTGAAAGTTCGATTGCCTTTTTAAATGCTTTAAATAATATGGTTATTACTATTACAAACATTAACGCCCCAGAGTATTTCTTTAATCCAGAAATGCTACAGAATTTGAGAAACTCCCCCCAATGCAGAAAAAATTCTTGTATATATTGATTCTAAATTTATCTCATGGCACAATATTTATAACATTAATAAGTTTATTTAGCTGGTTTTTAAATCTTTTAGAATTTGGTGTGTTTTTAAGAGCTAACCGAGCTTCTCGCGAAAACAAAAATGCCATGAGGATTTTCTAACATAAAATTTATATGCGCGCCACTGGGAATACTTCGCGATGTTATGTGTCTTGAGAATATTGAGGCAGCACTTTAAAGACTAGATATTTATTATAAGAAAGGAGCAAATTTTCAGAGGTTTTTTTTGAAATTTCTTTAAAAAATTCCCAAAATAATTTTTTTTCGAAGGTTTACAAAAAAATCAAGGTTTCTCCGCCCAAAGTTTTGTTATTATTGGCATTTACTGGAAATTTCACAAAAATCGAACTAGAAACAAAGGCTCAGAAATTAGAAATTTTCAGGGTGTTCGGTTTGCTCTTAATATAATAATTCAAAAACTCTTATAAACTTTGAATGGATTTCAATAGTATTTAAAAATACCCTTATTAAAATCATGATACGAATGAATAATTTCCATGAATGATGCGTTGATAAGAACTGCAAGGACTGATGTTGAATAATTATTTTTATTACTTTTAAATGCAAATTTTTATTTACCATCATGACTTGTACTGTCACCAGATCTGTCATTTAAGGTGGAAACCTTTGTTTGAAAAATAAAAAATATGATTTTTTATTTTCAGAATTGTTATGCACCGATAATCGACTTAGATGTTATTGTAAATAGACTCAAAACCGAAGAATACATTTTTGTTAATGAAGTTATAAGAGACTTGAAATATCTTATAAACTACTTCAGTGCTTTTGCTGACGTAAGTAATTGAATTTTTCACAATAATATTAGGAAAAACTTAAATAAGAAAACCGTGTTACCATTCCGATTACACTAAGAAGAACACAGCTACATAATAATCAATGCATTAATAAGGGTGATTAACAATCGAGATAATTTAACGCGCTCGCTATGCTGGCGCGTTAATGTTCGATATTGTTAATCGTCATTTTAATTCACGAGTTCGTTACAGAACTTTTTCGTCGACCGTACTTTTCAAAAATAAAGATTCTGAATATTGTCACGTTAAGTGGTTTGTTGGGCAAACCAATTAATCGTGGGGTACGCCACTGCGTATTTCGGATCGCCCAAACGATCTTCCAGTCGAGGAAGATCTTTGCGCCACCCGAAAATACTCACTGGAGAACCTTTCTTATGATTTACTGTTTGGCTTGGCTTTACGCTACTGGGGAAGGAATAAAAGTCACAGCATAAAAAACTACAAATCTTTAATGAATACAAACTAAAATCCCCTAAACTACCCAGAAATCCTCAATATTATAATACACCCCAAATATACAATATACAGGGTGGACCGGATTTAATTTGCGTATACAGAGATCTCGTAAGATATACATTGTTGGTTAAATGGAGAAAAAGTTTCGTATTTTGACGGATAATACAATGGTCCATAGAAGTTCCAGATTTTCTAACTGGTTCTGGAGATATTCGATAAAATCCGAAAAACCTCATTTTCGTTTTTTAAGTCGTGCGTTGTTATTATAAAAGATACAAAAAAAAATTATTAAAAGGTTTTGTTATAAATCAAGTTCCCTATAATCTGCCATGTCAAAATTTTTATTACGACGTTTTGTATGTGCAAGGCCACCTTCAACTTATTTTTTTAAATACGGATCTGGATGTTTAACTGTAATTTTTTATAGCTTTTGTATAGCTGAATACAACGATATGTTACACTTTACCATTTTACTACGTTCCGTCTATGAAAATATCATCAGCTATGTAGCTTCTGGTGATACCGTTTCTTACTTGATTAAAACAATATAGCTAATTAAATAATTAAAAAACAAAAATGCCTAAAATGTGAAATTGTAAATATTATTTGAAACATAATACAAGAATTATTTAATTACAAAATGGGTTACAATTTTTTATCAAACATGATTAAGTACAACCAGCAAACAAGACTAATGAAGAACGAAATATGGTTGTACACATTCTACAAATAAGCTAATAACAAAAACAAAATTCAAAAACAGTCACAATAGTTGCTCAAAATGTAGTCCATTCTGTTGGATACAGAGTGCAATTCTCCTAGACATTTGGGATGCATCTACCATTCGTTGACGAAGTTCTTGTAGTAGATTATTTGGCATATTTTTGTCGTAGATTTGGTTCTTTACGAAGCCCCATACAAAATAATCCATGGGGTTAAGACACGGAGATCGAGGAAGCCATCTTATTGGTCCATTGGTACCAATCCAATTACCTCTAAATTATTGATGGAGATTCTCTGCAACCCTCCTAGCATTGTGTGCACCACAACCGTCTTGCATAAAGTATTGAAGATTTTGTCTTGTTTTTAAGGGCATATCATCGAGTACTTCCTCCAATAACTGCAGGTATCGGAACTGATTTAAATTACCATTCAAAAAAATCGGCCCAATAATCTGTTTATTGATTAGTCCACACACATTTTGGGTAAAACGGAACTGTGGTCTAACTTCCTTGATTAAATGGGGATTAGAAGTAGTATACAAATGCTTGTTCCTGGAATTAAATATTCCACTATTAGTAAAGGAGCATTCATCCGTCCATAACATCTTTTTGTTGAAAGAACGGTCATTGTACTATATCAACGACGAAACATCAGTCTTCTATCAGAGCCTCCAGCGTGTAATTTCTGGACTTTTTAAAATTTATACCCGTGGTATTTATGTGTCTTTAAAATTCTTTTAACCGTAGAGGTTCCTACTACACATTCTTTAGCTATTCGCCTAGTAGAATTTTCAGGGTTAATATGTATTTGAGCAAGAACATTAATTAATACTGATAATATTAATTTTTTACACTGCTATGCTCTGCCATATTTTTTTAAATATAAGAAAACATCCTCTTAGATGGCTGTTGTCTATCAGGATATAAATCTAAATAAGTCTGAGCTGACCGGGTTTCATTTATACAGCATCTTATGTACACATCATACATATCTTTCTTCTCTTCTTCACTATAACCAACCATAATATTTATTTAATTTTAAATTATTTAAAGCTGAAAAAGTACTGTAATATTAGATGTTACAGATTATAACAGAAATATTGGTGACAAGTTACAACTGACATGCAAGGCAAACATGATTTTGTTAAGATCTTATGTATGCAAAAATGAAAACATTAAAGATAGAAAAAATACGGTGTGACAAACCTAAGCGAAAGATTTTACAGAAAATCAGGTGATAGGAATTTATAGATTGCTTGACCGTTTTGTTTTTCATTTTATGTTTTTGTTATTAGCTTTATTATTTGTAGAATGTGTACAACTATAATTCGTTCTTCATTAGTCTTGTTTGCTGGTTGTACTTAATCATGTTTGATAAAAAATTGTAACCCATTTTGTAATTAAATAATTCTTGTATTATGTTTCAAGTAATATTTAAAATTTCACATTTTAAGCATTTTTTGTTTTTTAATTATTATTTAATTAGCTATCTTGTTTTAATCAAGTAAAAAACCGTATCATCAGAAGCTACATAGCTGATGATATTTTCATAGACGAAACGTAGTAAAATGGTAAAGTGTAACATATCGTTGTATTTAGCTATACAAAAGCTATAAAAAATTACAGTTAAAAATCCAGGTCCATATTTAGAAAAATAAGTTGAAGGTAGCCCTGCAAATACGTAATAAAAATTTTGATATGGCATATTATAGGGAACTTGATTTGTAACAAAAGCTTCGTATAATTTTTTTGTACAGTTCATCAAATTTCTAGAGGTGTTCGACGCCCAGACAGAGAACGCGCTACGTGTGACTAAGATAGCTATTGTACAGTCTGCTAAACAAGTTATTTTAAATAGTTTTTAATATTTTTAGGTAGGTAATTAAATTTTAAAAGTGTGGAATAGTTTAGGGATTAAATTGGTCTGATTGGACTTTCTTAGAACGTTTTTAAAAGCAGCTAAAGATAGTATGTAGAATTGAAAATAATTATTATGCCATAAAAGGTGTTTTGGAATTCCTTCAACCTTTTGAAATTGAGTCAGAAAATATAAATTTTATAGGATAGCGGAAAATACCTATAATTTTTTTGTAGGCCTTTGTAAATCGTGGAAATAGTTTATATTTTATTTCAACCTTATTAAGGAAAATGGTACCTATTATTAATAACGGTTGTTTCTGAAACATTACTAAAATTTTCGAAATTTTGTTTTTCTACAAAATAATAAACTATACTATTTAGAAAAAAATTTATTTCTCTTATAATTTTATAAAAAATAACAGGGGCATATTTACATTTCTTGATCTATTAAACAAAACGATAAATTATCTCGACGAATGACACCATGTTCTAGTACGGAAGCTAGCTTTACATTTTTGTTGGTGGTTTCATGGGTTTCATATCAATTTTTTGTAATTGTAGTTTACACGTACATATACCTCTTAACACTTGTTTGCTTTATTAAAAAAGTGTGTTGTTGTGATTTACGTCGAAATAAGTCAAAAACAACTTGAAACCCCATATAAAATCAAAAAGGAGAAACGGAAAAAAATTGAGCCTGTAAATGAACACAACTCAGAAACAAAAATAGCTATCTAATAATAAAAAAATAAAATTTGATTCTTGTGCAGCTTCATCTATATCATTAACTGTTTTTGGTTTTTTAATGGTTTTTCTTGGTGATGAAAATTCCGATATCTCACGGTTATCGATTCTTTTTTTCTCTCCAGAAATGCGGACGACAGTGTTTTTAGATACTCCTGTGGCTGCAGCAACACGATCATTTACATTTTTAAATGGTATTGAAGGTGAATTAAAGTTTCCTTCTCTTCTCATAAACTCTATAACATTGGCTATTATTTCGCGAGATTGACTGTTAATCACGCGGCCTCTTAATTTGCTATTAAACTCCATACTTAGGTTCTATTAAACTGTAATGAGCAAAAAACACAAACGAAAATAAAAGAAATGTTTTAGCGAAATTTACATCTGACATTTACGTCTGAATGAAATAGTGAAATACTTGATGCGCAGAGTGTACTTTCATTGCGTAAATCCGTCGGGATGCCTGTCAGTAGTGCTTTCTCTGTCTAGCCGTCGAAAGCCTCTAGAAATTTGATGAACTGTATCTTTTATAATAACAACGCACGATTTAAAAAACGAAAATGAGGTTTTTCGGATTTTATCGAATATCTCCGGAACCAGTCAAAAAATGTGGAACTTCTATGGACCATTGTATTATCCGTCAAAATACGAAACTTTTTTCCTATTTAACCGACAATGTATATCTTACGGTTTACGAGATATCTGTATACGCAAATTAAATCCGGTCCACCCTGTATATACACTACAAAGACTTTAAAGAACCAACTGGTTACTTTTCTCAGAAGTACCTTTTGAAATTTTATTTTATTTTTTATTAGATTTATAAAATACTCTTACCACATGCTTTAACAGGAAGCTTGAATGTCACGACTTTTTATTTTTATTTTTATTACTGTAATCAGGGTTTCCAGGTTTTTGAAAGAGAAGACAGGGGATTTTAGGGGAAATAGGGGGAAGTAAAAACAACTCGGTCTATTTTTACTCTTTTAATCAAAATTACTTATTTTGCAAGAAATCCTTACCTAATTTTGGTAAAGATACACTGAGGTGATTTTACAAATAATAAGGTGAAAATGTAAAGTTAGAAAATCGAGAAATCGCAAATCGAAATCCAAAGTCAGAAAACATGTTCACCTTACTATTTGAAACACCTCAGTCTATCTTTACCAAAAAATAGGTACGGATTTTTTACAAAATAAGTAATTTTGATTAAAAAAATGAAAATAGACAGAGTAGTTTTTACTTCCCCCTATTTCCCCTAAAATTCCTTGTCTGTCCGTCATCTCTTTCAAAAACCTGGTAACCCTGACTGTAATACAGCAGAGTATTACCTACTGCTGATTTATGTCACAACCGAAGAACTTATAGCCTCGGTTGTGCCAAAAATGTTGTTGTTTTTTGTTTTGTCAATTTGGCTAGCTGACCCCAACATTGTTTTGAAATTGTAGAATCAGCATAACCGAATTGAGTGCATTGTTTACTTTCGACATAAAATAATAAAGTTTTTAATTACTAGACGAAAAGATTGTTATTGTTTTAAATAACTTTAAATGTAATATTAAACACAAATTGGAATTGAAACGAAATTAAAAAGATTGAAATAAAATTATATTTTTGGAAATGGCTTTAATAAAATCTGAGTTGAAATATATTTTTGGAAAGTACTTTATTTTATCTTTAATAAAAATCTAATTATTTTTAAATGCAATTCGTGCCAATATCGTATTATTTTTCTCTCGTCACAACATAGTTTATGAATTTTAAGAAATTAAATAATAAAATACAATGACAGATAGTATTAAGACACCTTCTTGATTTTAAATGTATATGTATGTTTGGTTGCCTACACCATAGGTAACTGTCAATATAAATATATAATAGCCATGTTGGCTTGCATATAATAAAATAAACGATTTTGAGTGCGTTAAAATACATTATAAATAGTCGGTCGACGGAAAAATAATTTAATTACACTGGCGAGCAAAAAATTGAGGTCACTTCAGAAATTGCGAATAATTTTAGCGTCAAGATTGATAATAGTATTAGTAGGCGTTGAAGCAATTGTTTTCCGAGACTTGACAGCTAACATTCGATTTATTAGAATACAAAGGCCTCCCTGTTTATGAAAAATGTGCCCTTACGCTAATTGAACATTCACATTTCCCTTGCTTGTTTTCCAGTTTACTGTTGATTCCTTGTGTAAAACCTAACGATTGCAAAGTGTAGTGATTTAACAGGCCCATAATGCCTTTAGATCCGATTGTTGTGGCAAGAATTGTTGCGCTGTTGCAAGATGGTCGGGGGCAACGTGAAACTGCAAGAATTGTTGGTGCTAGTCTTTGTGGTGTGCAAAGGGTGTACAAGCGCTTTCTGGAGACTGGCCTGATCATTAGAAGACCAGGGTCTGGGCGAAAAAGAGTTACCACTCAACGATATGACCGTTTTTTGGTGTCCACAAGTTTGCGGAATAGGACATCTACTGCGGTTTCACTGCGAAATCAGTTGGAAGAAGTGAGAAATGTCAACGTTAGTAAATGGACCGTTAGAAGAAGACTTCATGCTGCTGGACTGTCATGCAGTTGAATAGCTACAGGTCCCCCGTTGCAACGCCAGCATCGGACTGCAAGATTGACATTTGGCAGAGATCACGTTCGTTGGAATGATGATGACTGGAGCTGTGTATTGTTCTCAGATGAATCGCGTTTTTGCCCCACTAGGACAGATGGACGTCAACGAGTGTGGAGAAGACCTGGGGAAAGATATGTTGAAGTTTGCATTGGCGAGCGTCTTCCATTTTGCGATGGGTCAGTTATGGTTTGAGCGGGAATTACTACACAAGCTCGTACAGAGTTAGTCTTAATAGAAAATGGCTTTCTAACCTCTCACAAGTACATTACGGAGGTTCTAGAAAACCATGTTATGCCTTTCATGGTGACTATGGAGGAACGTGGCATTTTTATACAAGATAATGCAAGACCAGATACAGCCAGAATTGTCAGGGAGTGTCTGGATGAGGTAGAAATTGGTCGGTTTGACTGGCCAGCCCGCAGCATAGACATGAATCCCATAGAACATGTCTGGGACGAGTTGGGAAGATGGATCCGTAGACACACACCAGCACCAAGAATTGCCCAAGAGCTGAGAAGATTGCTGTTGCAGGAATGGGATAACATCGACCAGAATGTGATCCGCAACTTAATTCAAAGTATGCCGTGCCGATTTTAAGCAGTCATCAATGCAAGAGGAGGAAATACACGTTATTAGTGTCAAGTTTTTTCATTTTGTTCGTTCCATATTTTTCCTAACAACAAAATGTTGAATTTCGCCCAAAATGTTAATTTGTTGCTTTTTCAGAATAAATCATAAAGTCCAAGAAAAAAAAATGCATTTCTGTTTAATATAGAGCTTACAAAAGTACATGCAATGATGTACAGTTTGCGAATACGATCTGAAAACGTAAAATTTCAAAGAATATGAAAATTTTAAGGTGACCACAAATTTTTTGCTCGCCAGTGTAGTTGATGATAGAGAAAAGATTGTCCGATAGTTACTAAGAACGTCAGTTAGTTCTTATCAAAATAAAGAAAATAATAAAGCAGCGAAATATTGTTCAAAATAATTTTATAATAGAAATGCTTCAATAGTTCAAAATACTTAAATTATACAGGGTGGTTTAAAATTGAGTGCAAAGATTTCAAGGGCGTATGTACCAGCCAAAAATAAGAAAAAATTTTCATATAATCATATGTTTGAACTTGCTTCGTTTTCTATATAGAGGGTGTCAAAGTTTTTTTAAAAAATCGGTTTTTTTATCAATTACTCAAAAACCTTTTAGCCGATTTAAATAAAATTTGGTAAGCTTATTTGTCGTTATAAGGGCTTTGCTTTGGTGGGTATAAAATAAATTTATTAATTCCAGTGGTGTCTCAGGGGGCTACCACTTGATACTTATAGGTAAAATCATGGTACCGCACTGCTTTTTTTTAGATTAAGCGATCAATAATGTAACTTTCTTACCTCTTGAGCTTTACTCATATCTAGCTTTGTTTCCAAGGAAAAAAAATCTAAATATGTGCCTGGCCCTGGCTATCGCCAAATAGGTATGTCTTAATTTTTATTTGTGTTATGAAATTTTATTCACTATTTATTCCAGTGGCATCTCAAAGTGTAATTTTATTTAATTAATAATTGTTGAAAACCGATTTGTTTTAAAAAACTTTGACACTCTGTATCTAGATAATGAAGCAACTTAGGACATACGATTATATGAAAAAAAATTTTTATTTTTGTCTGGTTAATACACCCTTAAAATCTTTGCACTCAATTTTGAATCACTCTGTATTTTAAAAGGAGTTGACTGACGCTTATTTCGATTATTCAAACAACGAAAATCAGATAAAAGTTTGCAACGTTGTCTTCCGGACTAATCTTTTCGCGTCGCTATTTTAATATGATTTTATCGGTGTGCCTTTGATAATAGAACATTTTGTAACTATTGCACATACAATTTTATTTTCAGCATTTTACAAATGTGGATAATAAGAAGAGAGAACTGGTTAGCTTTATAACAGAAATGTTTTCACTGAAATTACGTGATTTTCTTCTAGAACATTTTCCCGGTTATGATTTTAGTGAAATAAAAGGCGATGTTTTACAAGTAGTTGGACAATTAAAAATGAAGGTACCAAAATTTAGTGACGAAGATCAATTCTATAAGTGAAGCATAAAAATATAGGTGGCCAGTTGGAAATGAAACTTTAGGAATACATTATTTGTATTTTAAAAATTGCTGTATTTACTACGTATGGCAAAACTAAATGCATGAATGTTATTATCCTACCTTTTTTAACGATCAAAAAAATACTTTTTATATCACTTTTTATATCACAATGACTAATATGTAAGATTTAAAAATTACTGTATCAAAACTAAAAATAAATTGGTGTTTCTATTAAAAACTTTGTTCGGAATGAATATGGCTCTTATTGATATTACAATCCACCTTACCCGTTTGGCGAATTACACGGGATATATTCGATTTATATTTCGACATGTTCTTATGGATCATGCAACAAATTTCTAAGATAAATAATGAAGTTACTGTTAACATTTCGTATTGCCCTTTTCTGCATTATTATGCAAATAATTCGGCAGAACAGACTCCCCAAAACGGAACAGCATAACTTAAATGGGAGTCAACTAAATACAGTTTTTGATGCACAAACAGGTTTTGATGCACAAACAGTTTTTGATGCACAAATTCCTAATTCATGAGAGGTAGTTCTAATGGCATAACAACCCGATGCAAGTTTTTTTAAAAGTGGATCCACATGAGATTTGAATTTCAAAACCGTGTCGATATTTAAACCCAAAAATTTTGTAGGTCTGTGGCTTCTATAGTATCCATATCTATTAAAATATCAGGAATATTACATTTAAAGGTTAGTATTTTTATTTATTTTTTTTAATTTAATGGTAGAAAATTTGTAGTGCGTCATGTTCTAAAAGATTTGAGGTCATTATAAAGAATAAAGAATATTGACGTCTTTATTATGCCACAAGAAAGTACACAAACAGTCAAGTAACGCAACGTTTCGGAACATTCCGTTATCCTTGTTGGTTCCTTAACATGCATACTTAAATTAAAGGAAATTAATAATTTTTTTAAACTACTAGTACTATTATTATCATCGTTAAGATAATCTATATTTAAGTCACTGGTCACAACTATTTTAGATGACGTAGAAAATCTACTTAGCAAAGATTCCAAATTGTTTAAAAAAACTAAAACATTTGAATTTGGTGATCTGTAGATATAAATAACATAAATAATAAATTTAAGAATTGTAATAATGGAAAACTCAAATTGTTTTTCCTCTAAAAGTTTAGGATATTCTACACTCTTAAATTCCAAAGTATGAAATATGGAATCATGTATTAAGATTGCTGTACCCCCGTGTTCATACAGTTCTTTTCAAAAAATCGTTATTAAGTTATAATTTGGAATATATAAATGTTCATCTTTTTCAAGCCAAAGTTCCGTTAATAATAAAATGTGAGGGAAACAGTAATCTTCTAGTAATAAAAATAAATCATCAACTTTATTACGAGCAAACCGAATATTTAAAAGTAAGAAAGTTAATGAGTCAACGGGATCAATGGATGGACTACATCTAAAAAAGAACTATTAAGGTTCTCTTAAGTCACTAACAACAATAGGCTCGGTGTTTACTACATAATCAAACTGTCATTTGGTAAAATAACAAAATACTAAATTTTGGTTTGTTCTGTTTTATTTTTTTTATCTTTGTATTCTTTTGTAAAAACTTATTTACAATTTCTCTAATTCGTAGTTTAATATTTGTCACATTAGGTACATATAGACGTATTTCTATTTATTAAGCAAAATTGATTGATTTTAATCCCAATAAAACTTTCAAATTTATCATATTTGTAAATATTCTTAGAAAAATTAAATAGATTTGTTAATCTACCTAGTGGTAATAAGTGAGCCTTACATAATGAAGCATAATTAGAAATGCTTAAGTGTTAGTTTATCTTGTTTTTATATACACCGATTATACCGATTACATGTACAAATAAGCAGTTTTTCCAAAAAAAAATCAGTTTCCAAGGAAAATATTTTTAAATAAACAATTTTATTAAAAACTGGCAAATGTTACTTAACATAAACGATTCTGGATTGTCAATTGTTAATATGGCACTTTTAAAATAAAAGTGACACTACAAAAATTCTTAATTTACAGGAAAACACTTTTAACTTTTAATATTTTGTCCTACAAAATCTATTAAAATACTTGTCACACCAATTGTTTTGTTGTTAATGTAACTAGGTAAGTATTTATTATAATTTTAACTTGATATCAATCATTTATTTTTAAATTGTAATAAAAATGCTCAACATACCACCGTATTGTATCAAGATTTAAATAAACTTTCACTCCCACTTCCACTCAATATTTCTTCACTTTTAGTTCAATCAGATAAGATAATTTTTGACGCTATTATTAAATTTACTCAAAATACTAAAATAGATATTTAACACAATATATACAAAAATCATTAAGTTAAAACTTTCTGTGGTAAATAGACTTGCATGTCTGATGCCATCCCATTACAAAAAAAAAAAAAAAAAAAAAAAACTTATTTGTTGAACAAAAAGGTATAAAATTAAAAAAAATATTAAAAAATTACTCTAAACGGACTTTTTGTATCGTGTGTGTCATATCTGCGAATTAAATATATAGTTGAATCCTATCAATTTTTTAACATCTAAATTTCTAAGAAGAGATCGTTTATATCTTGAAACCAAGTAGCGCAAATTTAATTTTGTCAAAAAAATGAGCCTCTTTAGTGACCATTAAGATACCATTTTGCAAGCCGAGGCAGAGAATGACTTCAAAACGCGCCGCGACAGCAAGGGAGACAATATTTGCCGTTTTACTTCTGTCTCTGTCTCGCGTCGCTTGTCGCGAGCTGCCAGATGGTACCTTTAAGGTACTCACTAGACATGGGTAACGCACTAAAATTCTTTGCGTTGATACACTAACTCCGGCGCACTCTATTGCGCCAACTCATTGCGTTAACGCAATTGCGTTATTGCGTCACACCACTGCCTGCGCCGAATGAAGTCGATGCACCTGGGTGTATCGCATGATACCGGAATACCGGTGTTCGGGCGGTTTTATTCAGCGCGGGCTGTCCTTTTATAAGGGTCAAACCGTGTTAAAGACAATAAGGCAATTGGGAATTTAACTAAATTTTTTTTATTATATGTTTAAAAATAAACGAAAATATAACAGTGTAATGCACCCATTTTTTTATTTCATTGTGTTCGGATTTTACAAAGAATACAAAAATTCCAATCTATATAAAAAGGATGTAACTTTTGTATACTAGTAGCCAATCAAAAAAACTGATAGTGTACAAGGTTAAAATCCATAAAATCCGACCTACAATCCTACAAATGATGTGACATGGTGCGAAGAACATAATTACTTGATAGATTTTGGGTAATCTGCATTACGAGTTGCATCAATTACGTAAATTAAAATTCTCAACTCGTCACGGAAAACGGAATCAGTGCCTTGCGCATGGCGCATCAACAACTCGCGATCCTTTCGACTCAGTACCGAAAATTGCGTTGCGCTGATACAGTAACAGCTGGTGTATCAACGCTCATAACGCATACAACTGCGTTAACGCAATAATGCAACGCAGCGCTGCGTTACCCATGTCTAGTACTCATTCGATAGTCGCTGCAAGCGACCGAGACAGGGCAGGAGACACTTAGAAAGCTCGTTCGTAGCATGCGACAGATGACAGATCAGTACCTCTTTTGCTGTTAAGAAAGGTGCATTTAGAATGTCTGCCAAGAATAGAATTATCAAACGAATTTTTGTGTTTTTTTTTTATAAATTCTTTTTAATTATGCTTTTTATTAATTAAATCTAAAAACCTACAGCTCAAGACCATAAATGAACATTGGCATAGCTAGTATTGTCATCTGGAGAGACTGGGAGAACTGAAAGGATGGCTGCTCGGCAATACGACCAAAATTTATTACCGGGCATTATGTGGTGGCCGTTCACACCCCTGTTCCCTTCTAACTACGCCAATGTAAATGAAATATATTTTCTTATTTATTTTTCCGTTTTAAATTTTTTATTGATCCTTTATTTTAAGGTGGTTCGAAGGATTTTAACATTTTGATTTAGTTGAAAATATGAATTCAGAAAGAATAATTCGCAAATTCAAAAAATTAAATCGTTTCTACAGTTTTTATTTTTCAAAACAAGATTAGTTGTACAATCCGACATGCTTGGTTTTTTCCAATGACCATTTTAGGTTTTGTTTTTTGTAAAGCTTTACGTACAATGAAAATAATTTCTTAACATTCCTTCCAACTACTTTTTTACGAGACTGAGAAAGAATATATTAAAATATTAACTTTTATATTAAAATCAATGACAGAATTAATTATTTTTGTGTGGCTCACGACGTCACACTGATGCAGCGTATAACATGTCAAATTTTTAGAAAATGGTAATCTCACATTTCAATAGCGCCAACTATAAATATGGTGGTCGTTTGTCTCTAGTATTTTATAGAATAAAAGAAAATTATAACATATACATCTCTTTATTACAATGTACTCGAAAATAATTAATAATTCTGAACTAAATAGCTAATTAAATATAGCAATTAAAACTCTAATGAACTTTATTATCCAGGATCCAAATATTTCATGTTATTTTACATCATTTTCACATGAGTTATCACTTTCATTTTCACTAAACATTCTCTTTCCGTTTGCCTCGAGGTCATCATCCTGGGTCGATCCTTCCAAAGGCCACAAATAACCGGTGTCCTTTTTCAAAGTAATACACATAAACGCGCTAATCATGACTATAATCAGAAAGAGCATTAATACTCCAAAACCCCTTGAAAGGAAGAAAGATTCATTTTGCTCGTCTTCTAAACCAATGAAATTAATGTAAGTGGAATTTTCTGGTAGTGGAGATGTCATTGATTTACCTAAAATGAGATAAAATAGATTAATAGTAGATAATTAAGTATTTTTTTTTTGAGATTTAATTTCTTTTGGGGATATGTATACACCAAAAAGTGTACCAATAAAACGTCCCAGGCCGGATATTTTGGAAAGGAGTAGATATATTTTAATTCTGTAAAAGACAGTTTTAGAGCCATGTATCTAGATTTCCTATAAAATACATTAATTTATGATTGATCCAGATTTTTCTGATATTTAAATAGCCAATAATTTGAACCGTTGAGAGAGAGGTAAATATGCTTTTGCTGAATGGAATTTTCAAGAAGTTGCTCTAAAAGAAAATTTGTTAAACGACTTTTGTTAATGTCGAATGAATGAACAAGTTCCATTGTCCTGAAAGTGGAATATTGGGTCTGTCAATTTCTATATAAATTGA